GCCTCTGATCTAAATGTTGTTCTTATTATTTCTACCTCATTTATTTTTAGACCCGTTAAGTAACGCCAAAACAGCGAAACAGCCAAACAACCAAGATGCGGATCTCCTCTCCGCGAGTTTGTTTCATCTCATAATAGTGGAGGGCACCACAAATAAATTGATCTACACCGAGGGACACGGGGGTAACCGACACACATGCCACACAGATGCAGTTGGGGATGATGTCAGGTGTCAGGAAAGTCGAGAGGACGGGCAGGGAGACTGGCAAGTGGAGTCAGTGATGCGCAGTCAGGTGAGAACTCACAACTATCAATGCTGCTTCTAGCGCGTATGTATGTATAAATGTATTTTTGAAACAATTTTAGACTTGATATTACACAGAATAAGCTATATTCAGGATTTATTTTAATTCATTTTGTAATTACTCAAATTCACCATCCATTTAATACCAAGACCAAACTGGCAATACATCTTTCTTAAATCTTAAACTTGAAACGTTTTAATAACCATTGGAACGTTACCTTTTTGGGCGCCAATTTGCTTACTAGCTATAGCTATTTCGGGCGAGAGATACACTTGAAACGAAAGTTCAACCCCCGTCCCATCATCCCCAAAGCGTGGACCCCTTGTGTGTGGTATGCTTACCTGCTGGGCCACAGGATCTAATATGCTCTCGATGGTTTTTGTGTGGAAGACGGGCATTTTGGCTGCGCTTTTCCTTTCCTGCTTTCTTCTATTTGTGTGTTTATCTCACTCTCTTGCTCTCTGTTTTGTGGGCCAGTTCCGTAGTATATGCTGGAAATAAAGAAGACATTTAAATGGGCAAAAGACATGCCACGGAGTTGGGCAAACATCTCAGGGAGCAATCTCTCTGAATTCCATTCCAAGACACAGATAAGACCAGTGCAAACAGGGCCAAGTACACGTAGGAAAATTACTATTATCAAGAGAGCTAAGGGGGCCTTAATATTCAGAACGACGTTTTCATTCTGAATACGAGTTACGATCTAGAAATTCCGAAGTACCATACATTCATTGGGATCATTAGTTTTTTGTTTAGGACGCAAACAATATTCAATTGAATAAGTTGCCATGTAAATCAATTGACGGAACACTCAACCACTAGCCTTGTGTCAGATTCCACTTGCAATCCGATAGCTAGGCTTACAAGGCATCTAGTAAATATATCAGATTGTAAGATGCATAGTGCAGATGTGACTTTTCAGGTGCTTATGCAGAACCGTTCCGAACAAAAGGTACCCACTGTTTTGAATATGCAAATATGTGTTCTCCAGGGGCTTCCACATTAATAACCCCATTCCTGGATATCGTTTTAGTTTCGGTTTCTGTTTCTTTTTCTGTTTCGCTTCTGTTGATTCAGTTTGCCCGCTTGGGCTGTTTTCCGTTTAATAACGATGACGCATCTTGTGAGGTCACTCCCCAGACTTTTGGGGGATGTCGATATTGGCGATTTGTGGCCCTGGCCAAGGGAATGGCATAATCGGTGACGCACTAGTCACCTTAGTAAGGGTGCGGACCTTAGCCACTCAAATAATTGGCCCTGATTTACGATTAACCAGATTGAAATTGGAAAATGGGGAAAGGCGAAATGGGAAAGTGAAATCCGTGCCAAAGACATTGAAAATACGACTTCCTCCTGTGCGGGGGAGGTGTTAAAAAAAAAGACACTGGGCCACTATATTCCGCTCTCTTTCAGTCTCTTTCCCCCTTCCCTCCAGACTGTTGGCGCCCCGCAGAAGTATTTCTGGATTTTAGAACCTTATTCGCGCCTGCAATGCACACACACACACGCAAACAGTCGGCTTGCCGGATAAATATCTAAATATACACATCAGTTCTAGAAATACTTGTGATGTACGTCCGCCACTTATGGAATTTCGCCTTCGATTGATTTTCGCCATTCTCAACGCTCCGCACTCGGCGGCGCTGCTTCGAAATTCATAATAAATAACCAATGTGGGCTTTATTGGGGTTTATTGACTTGGTTGTGTTGGCCATTTATGGACAACAAATTGCTGCACACACCCGACTAAAACCGACTAAACCGACTGATCGTCTAAATGTCTTAACGTCTGAACGTCCAATCGGAACAGGTTGAGCGTCAGGAAGCCGCAGTTGATCCCGTTCTGATCGGAAGATAGCTCCGATCGGAACTTATCAGCTGTAAGTGTATGCGTGGAAGCTCGCCAAGTGCTGCTGCTGTTTATTAATTCCAATGGGCCCCAGGGTATGGATTCCCAATGGGACCGAGAGGGCGCAAGCTGCTGTGTCCCAATTTGAATGATGATCGTTCGTGTACGTTGGCGCGATGCATGCATATTTCGGAGGCTTGATTCTCACAGATATATACATATATTCCCATTAGCCCCGTAGTTATTGTTGCATATTATTTCACTGGTTTTCGGTTTTGTCACTGGCTGCTTCATGCGAATTATTAATCACGACGCACCAACACACTCTCGCCGTGGCAGAGTAGCAGCAACAATTGGTTCGCACAGGCACACAAGAACAAAAACAGAAAACAGAAAACAGAGAGCAGAAGAGGAAGAAGGCAAATAGAAATTAGAAAATAACTGAAACACGTTATTAGCTGTCGTTCTTCTTCGTTCTTCTGGTCGCATCAACAAATAATTTACGGTTTACGGAATAGAATACTCTGTATATATATGCCGTTATTTACTTTGTCTGGCTCGTTTTTACTGCGCTGTTCTTTCAATACTAAAAAAAGATTCCGATTGGGGGGCGCTCACTGCCAGTGCCAGTGCTGCCAACTTAGCCATTTATTTGCTAGATCTGGTAACTTTTAGAACTTTTTTTTGAAAATGATAGTAGCCACAAATCTAGCAATTTTCATTTTTGCTGATTTAGCTGATTTAAAAGTGAGTAAAACACATTAACATAAACATAAAATGAATTAGATTATGAATTATTTTTTATGATTTAAAATTAATCAATACATCAATTAAATTGTTAATATAAGAATTATGCTATATATGTGTAACTCATTAAAAATTATATTTGTCCAGCAATTTTTATATAATATACTTTTTTCAAATCTAGCAACTTAGTATGTTTTAGAAAACCTGGCAGCACTGACTCACACACGCAGCGCTCAGCCAGTCTGCGCACAGTGGGGCCCAGTGATCAGTGGGCGTGACAAAATTCTAGTTCCTCACGGGTAATTAAGACGACGATTGGTAGGCATTGCAGGCTTATCGTTCCGTTTCTCAACTCCGCATTCGTACTCGCACGTTTTTATTAAATGTTAAGTCGATCGGAAAAATGTGGTGCACATTTATTAGATTTAAGTGCTTCCTATCATGTTAACCAGCAGCGAAGTGGCGTGCATCAAATAAATATGTATTAAAGATTCCCAAGATGGGCTTTAATTCATTTACCGATTTACTAAATAACAACGAACATTTTTGCTGTTTCCCTAGATACAAATCGCTGAATTATTAATTACCAGAAGCGTAAATTCAGTTTGCTTTGCGGCTTTTTATCATTTTTGCCCACTGTGCTGCCAGACGCTTTTATCGCTGTTCCCCGTTCTTTATGCTCTTCCCCTTATTCTTCTTCTTGCTCTGCCCCACTGCTGCTGCTTCTTCTTCGCGCTCCAACCGCGCGTATCGATGACAGCCAGCGATATCGATTGTCAGCCCCGTTCTGGCAGTGATCGCATTTGAAAACGAAGAAATGCGCGCAAATTAAATAACACCCGCAAATCTCGCAAATCGCCAGTACGATTGCATAATAGAAATATGCGCTATGTGCATGCGATCTATTTGTAACGTATTTCTCGCGTTACGTGCCGCCAGGTGGAGAAACGGGGCTGGGCGGCCACACAACACACATCTGCATGGGTCTATGTACAATAAGTAAGTATTAAACACCGCGCTGCACTCCAACTATTTCCGTTGACTGAGTTTGGGAAGCTCCAGTTGGGGCTGCTCTAAGTTTTCGGGCGCAGTTTGCCGTGGCTTCCGTCTGCGTGAGCCAACGAAGAAGAAGTTCACACACAGCGAAAACAAAACGGGAAAAAAAAAACAAAGAGGAGCGCAGTGGGAATGGGAAGCCATCAATGGGGACGAAGCTCCCATGCTCTGCCAAATTGGGAAGGAATCCCAGGAGCCAGGTAATCATCCCAATTTATCTGACTAATCTGGCATCCTATTGAGTCTGAGTCAGGCGGGAAAATACTCTGAAGAGCGACTGTCATCAGGAAGGTTTTCATACCCTTGCATGGTGTTATAATTTCAGTAAGAAGCTCGGAATGCATTGAAGAAGTCATTTCCGACCCCATAAATCATATATATTCATGATCACTATTAACAGGAGAATCTTTCTAGCCATGTCCAGCAGAAAATTGTATTAATTTTTTCAAAATTTGATAATTGTCAGAAATTAGCCAAATTTTTAATTGTTTTTATGTACTAAATTTAGCATGCAGGTTTATTAGCCTTGTAAAAACTAACGCAGAACAGCTTTCCGAATTAAAATTAATGCCTTTTTGACTTAGTTGTGAAATTTTTAAGTTTGGTTTATTTTAGAATATGTTATAAAATGATTGGTAAAGAGTTATATTAACCTTAAAAATAACCTACAAAAGCCTTATTTATTGTGCATTTCAGATGAACTTAACACAGTTTGGAAAAGGGTATGATCCAATGCCGGCATGGTCTCCATCGTGGCCATCTGCAGCGGCCAGAAACCACCCACAAGGCATGACACGATGATCGCTGCCATCCGAAATGAATGAAAATTGCTGGTTTTCCACTGAGCAGCTTGAGCAGCTTTCTTGTGGTTCGGCGCGTGCGCATGCGCAGCCATGGCTATAGGTAGCTACTGCTACGGCTTGGATGGGCTGTGGCACGGAAGCGCGCTGCCAACTGGCGATGGAGTATTTCAGCGCCGCGGAGCGGCGCATTCCGCTGGTCTGTATAAATAAAATGGTCGCACTGGGGCAGCAATCAAAAGACTTGGAGCCTTCACAGCGGCCGCATCGTTGGAACAAAAGCACACCCCTTCAACACTGCAACTTTAAGCCAAGCGACATGGATAACCGCAGTTTGGTGAGTGGACGTAGTGGGACAGGAGATGACTGCAGGATTACTATTACCTTTGCCATTACACGTTTCCAGCTGCTGAGGCTCTCGCTGGTGGTGGCGCTTGTTCTGCTGCTCGTCTGTGTGCCGGAAACGGATGCTGGGTAGGATTACTAGAGATAAAACCCCACACAAAGTGGATTTGATGATGATCACTTCGATTAATCGATTCGTTTTACATAATCTGACAAATAATTCGAAATGCTGTTCCACAGAGGCTACCAGAAAAAGAAGAAAATCGTCATACACGTGCCAATTCACAAGAAGATTGAGAAGCACATTCACACCGTGGTTAAGCATGTCCACCACCACCACAAGCCCCTCGTTCTCAAGGAGGAGAAGAAGGTGATACACGAGGACCATCGCCCCATACAGATCCATCAGACCAAGGAGCACATCCACCACCACTCACTGCCGTTGGCAGCGGCGGCGCCCGCTGCTGTGCCAGAGCCGGAGCTGGAGGAGGAGGAGGAGCATATCCATCACCACCACAACTACGAGCACAGGGGCGGACTGCGGGACGACTTCATCGGTGGCGAGGGGAGCAGCAGTGAGGAGCGCTGACTATGCAGCGCCCCTCTGCGGCGCAGACTGATTCGATCGTGGACCGATCGCCCATGGACGGGCCACTCCATGTGATTCCCTAGACACGTACATCATTTTTTTTTTTTTTTTTTTTTTTATAGCCTAAAATAAATCTTAGCCGGAGCAAGGGAGACTCACCTTAGGGTAAACTGCACAGTACCTAGCATTATTAAATGATAATAATAATAATAATTCATAATTTCGTAAAGGCTTAAATTTCTGGTATTCAACTTTGCCATGCTTTATATTTTAAGCACAATCATCTTAATAAAAACAGAATTCACGGACACTGGCTTTCATGCAAAAGCATTAAGTATATAAAAAATATGTGGTTTAACATTTACATATGTATGTATTTTATTTTAATAATAAACATGATGCTCTCGGAACATATTTATGACTTGGAGACAAGGCAGCTCTGAGCCTTAATTTTTAGAAAATGTAGGAAGGGATTTAAAATATAGGAATATTTTGATTGAACGCCTGACTTTGTATTGCAAGATTATTAAAATTAAACGGAAAGCCATGGTACACATGTTAACAACTTGCTAAAATAAAAAATGCAAAATAGCCAGATGATCATCACTAGCACTAAGTAATATTTTATTGCCTCCCAATATAGCCATTTAGCTAAATGAGCATCACTGGTGCGTGATCGGCCAACATTTCACCCTTCTGTATAAAAAGCAAACAGAAAGCAGGGAACGTGGCGAAATTGGTATAAACTGTTATATTTTATGTTATGTATTTATACCTTTTTTCTGCCGACAACAACCACTTGATTGCAACAACATCTCTACAGCAGCCAATCCAAATTTCCGAAAATTTCCATGCAATTTGCCCGTTGCCCAAATCAGGATAACAGGAGAACAGAAACCAGCAGCAAGCGACTGAGAACTGGTATAAACTGTTATAAAAACTTCAAGCTTGACTAACGTGACTAACGCCATCTAGGGGATGTTTTAAGAACGAACCCAAGATTCAAACCTTTTAGGAATAAATTTAAATTTGGCCGTTAATTAAATCTTAACAGTGTGACCATTTTAAATATATCCTCAAATATACCCGAACAGCACGAAAGTATGCTATTAAATTGATTTTTTTTATTAAAAATTATCCACGAAAATTAATTTAAATTATGGGTAATGTTAACTTACAATTAAATAAAAGCATCTAGTCTAGTACGACACTTGTCTATGATTAGTCTTTCGACAAGGGAATAAAAGCGAAATATAATATTTCCTTCTACTGGTGTCCTATAAATTGTCTATGCGGTTCTAGTGATTTCCTGTGTACAGTTGTCAGAGCCCAGGGATCTGGATCCTGCCTGGCTAACGTTTGCCATTATAAAACCGAAATGAGCAAGTGGCTAAGTGCTCTAATCAACGAAGCGTCAAGTCCAGACTGTGATCCATCTCCATCTTCCATCGCTGCTTATTTTACCCTCAGGAGAAGCGTGAACACGGAGTAGGTAAACCTCATGACCTGAAAGTACACACAACATGAGAGTAGCACCTCCTTTCATGGTCTACATGGCAGCTCCTTATCACCTCCTCGAACGTCTCCAGCGAAAGGGCGATATAGTTGCCGGCAAAGATCATGGACGGCCGTTGCGTCCTGGCCAGCGTGAAGAGCAGGTCCCGCTTGAACTTGGGCAGCTGCTCCACCCAGTTGCAGGCGTAGAAGGCATCGCAGAGGGCCTCGCTCTGCGTCCGCATCCTGTCGCCAAAGTAGCAGATGATAAACACCTCCAAGGTGACGGCAGCAAAGAAAACAATCGACAGGATCATGGCGGATAGGTCGTTGTCGTCCACCACATACAGAAAGTGCAAGGCCACTGTGCACTGGACGGCAGCTGAGCAGGCGAACTGGGCCATGCAGGCCACCGACAGGATGCGCTGAATGATGCTGCGCAGCCGGTAGATCAGCATCAGATCCCGGATGCAGTCGATCAGCTCCGCATGCATCTGGCGCTGCCAGGCCACAAAGTCTCCGCTCGATTCCATGCCGTCCGTAGACTTGTAGCCAATCCGGAGCACCCTGAGCTCCAGGGCACGCATGTGACCAGTGAGCAGGCAGAGATACGCCGGCGGATACGAGTCACTGGCACAGTTCTGCACGGCTTGGACGATCAGCCCAAAGAGCTGGTAGATGTAGATGGCCACGTAGGCTTTGGTGGAGTGCCGCCAGTCCACGCCGAACCAGGCCGGGTACAGGAGCTGGCGTTCCGGCAAGATGGCCACCCGGAGGCAGCTGAGCGTGGTGCCGAACACAAAGATGCGGGCAAAGTAGCGGAAGCCGCTCTTGGCAATCTCCACCTCGCTGCGCAGCGCACCCAGCTCCTCCGGATGGCCTACCTGTCTGGCCCTGACATCCAATTGGCGCAGCAGCAAGCGGATCTCGTGCAGCTGCTCCCGCACCAGGTAAACGTTGACAAACTTCAGATTGGCCACAATGTCCGTGATGGAGATGGTTAGGTTCTCGCACATCTCCTGCATGTTGTGCGTAAAGAAGAGCCGGGCCATCAGGCTCAGGGGAAAGAGGATGGTGACCAGCACATTGATCAGGATAGCGTAGACCAAGTAGGCCACGTCGGAGACTCCCTTGGGCCGCATCAGTCCGGTCAGCTCCCACACTCGCCAGTGATAGTGCATAGCACTGTGCGTGTCCAGCTCCGGTTGTTCCTTCTCCTCCGCCTCCGCCATGATCTTACTTACGTTTGTCTCTGCCCGACTCTGTGGTCTTGTTTTTATACTCCTCTGGGCGGGATTACCTGCCATTACGGAGGCCAAACTTTCGGCTAAGTGGCTGGGAAAATGGCCAAGCCAAGCTAGAATAATGATGCCCCCAGGAAAAGTTGGTCTGCATTTGTTTACCGTTTGAAATCTTTCTTTTTATTCTGCATTCGGCATTTATCGTTTGTGGGGGAAAGCATGAGTGGGGGAGGAGCGGGTCTTATGCAGTGGTGTACAGGTAGGAATCAACTAGCAGCTGGGCCCTTCGAGCACCTGACAAGTGGAGGGTCTATGGGGCCGTGCTTAAATATTTAGTCTCGAAATCCCTATTACGACTACCTGAGTGAGGGTCATGCGTCTTCACCTCCTCGTCCTCGTCGTCGTCGTCGAGGTGTTACTACAGCTACTTCTGCTCCTCGTCCCCTCCTAATTTGTAAGGATTATATTGCTAATGAGGGTCACCTGTTAACTGATTCTATTTGTTTTAGTGCTACTCCTATGTGGTCTTCACTATCCGAGTTTAGTATTTAATGGGGGAATTTCTACCATCTATTACTATCATTTAGACATAATTCTCCCGATAATTGAGGCTACTTCAAGTTTACTTGTCAGGTGGATCGATGGAGGGTCTCTTGGGGGGTCTCTTGGGGTTCTATGGAGGTGCGTACGCCCTACGTATATGTACACCGTGCTTGATCAGTGATCACTCTACTCTAGAGGTTTACGCCGATGGTTAAAGGCATCGGCGGCGGCGTAGAGGTCAAAATGACTCGGCGGCGGCGGCGTAGTAGTCAGAAAGAACCGGCGGCGGCGGCGCGTCAAATAAGGCAAAAAGGCCATTTTAATGAGTTATTTTTTTTTTTTTTAAGTTTTATAAAGAACAATGACACTGAAGGCCGCGCTGAAGCTGCGCCGATGCCGCACCAGCGGCGCGCCGCGGCGCGCCGTTATTTTCATAATTTGGCGGCGGCGCGTCAAATAAGGCAAAAATCGGCGGCGGCGGCGGCGTGGCGCGGCGGCGTATATGTCTACTCTACTCTACGGACAGGAAAAGATTCTGGAAGGGATGTTTGGACTGGGGAAGAAAACACAAAAACAAATCCTTAGATGCACACCATCGATAACACGTTCACAGTTTGATCTTCTTAATTTGTAATTTTTAAGAATTAATTTAAAAATACAATCAAGTTTTTTAATAATCCAATGCTTACAGAGTGAATTTTGCCCGAGCACTTGGACATGCGCTGCTCTCTCTCGCTCTCCATCTCTCTCTCTCGGCGATCAAGCACTCGGGCAGGGAATATTTAATAATAATCATATAATTATTTATATAAATTTATATAGGCATATATGTAGCTAAGAGCGTATATGGTAATGTGTATAAATCAAGTATAGATATTGCTTCAGCTTGGGCTGGGAAAAAAGAGGATTTTTGAATGGGGAAACAGCGATTTAAACAACGCCTCTCTTTACGTTACGATTAAGTTTAATATTAATACAATTTAATATGTTACTCTACGTTGCGTTACGTTACGTTACGTCACATTTAACAATCATCGTTAGCAAAAAGGTGAGTCGCGCTATCAAGACAATAATCATCATAATCGTTAGCTTTATAGATACAATTTAACATAAACACGATCATCGTCCAGATACTGATCGATGTGGCGATCACCGAACGCTATAAACATTATTACATTTCTCATTTGATATCCTTTAATTTATTTCTTGTAAGCTCAGTTCTCAGTCGCAAAAGAACGTGTGACGTGCGGATCCGTGCGTCGACCAGATCGATCTTGATTCGGTTTTATTTGATTTGATTCGGTACTCGGATTCGGATTCGGATTCGGATACGGATACGGATTCGTTTTCGGTTTGCATTGGCTGCCTAGGGATTTGGAATTGTTGCATCTTTAGCAGCGCTTTCGGCCTTAGGGGCGGCGGCGGCGCTCTGATTTGAATTTGCGTTTTTGTCTTTGTCTGATTTGGCATCCTGCAAAAGAAATACGAGGAGTAATGCCAACGGTTTCAATCACAAACGTTTCATTTTTAAATTTAATTAATTATTTCATTTTTGTATCGTTTAATCGATTTTGTTTCGTTTAATATATATTTTCAATTGTTAAAATGTCCGAGCCTGTTCCGGTTTCCGCGAGACTTCTGCTCCAAACTTTAATTCACTCAACCCAAGGCTTGTCGAGTTTTGTGAATGGTTTGGGGCTTTTTGCAAAAGACTACAGTCGAGCTTCTCCCAATCGAAGTATTTCTAACATAGGGTAAATCAATTTAATTCGATTAAAAAGGTATATATTTGAATTTTTTTATAAGAATGTTTTTTATAAGTCAAATCGGAGGGACTCATTGAGAAGAAAGAGCTTAATAGCTGGTAGAGATTTTAGCAGATATTCCTAATGACTGAAATGGTTTGTTTCTGGACATATGTCTACTATAGCTGGACATAAAATCTATTTTAGTGTTGCAAAAGATAAATAAATTTGTAAAATTGATTTAATCATATTTCCGATGCAATATAAAAGGTGAGGAACAACAAAAAGTGTAAAACAATTAAATAACAAATCTATAAAGAATATAAAAAATTTTAATTATTTAAATTTTCGATTTTAATCGATTTTTTATAGATATTTTTAGAAAAATTCGATTCACTGAAAATATACTTATTTCCAGCTCTAGTGGACACTTGCTCATGCTCTAATTTCAGTGGGAGAACCTCGACTGTTATTTTAGTAAATGTAAATATTTCCAAGCAAACTATAATAATTTGAAGCGGTCACAGTCGGTACAGTACTTGGGAACTCGGTTAATAAACAATTAGTTATGTATATATGTTTTGTATTTATATTTAAAGTGCACTTGAGGATGCAACTACGACGGCTGCCACTGGGAAAAGTACCAAATGAATATTTACAGAAATGAAATTTAAGAGTGGCAACCATGTTTGCAAAGTGTTTACCATTACAGCTGCCCTCGAAGGATTCGAACGGGGCTGAATGGAGCTCTGGACCAAGTAAATGTATGCCAAATAGGTGGATTTCTCTTTTGCGGATTTGAATTTGTGCCAAGGGAAGAAGGGGCAGGTCCCAACCTGCTGTGGAGTGCAGCAGGTTGCGGCTTGCCCGCCTCCTCTGTTTCTCTTTCTCATCCTCACTCTCTATCTCTCATCCTCTCTATCTTTCTGGCTTCCTTCTCCTCCTACCTACAAGAAGACGGAAAAAGGAAAGGCAATGGGAATGGGATTCGGCTTGTGCTGCAGCCCGACTCCGTCTCGAAGCGAGTCGGGTTGCATCCGCGTACGCCAGCGGGAGGGATGTACCTATTCCAGAAAGGGGAAGGAACGGAAAGGTAGTCTAGTCCGTTGCAATGCTTACCTTGGCCATTACGCTGGCCGCCTCCTGTTTGAGATACTCCTCGCGGGCCCCCTCATAGAGAGCCACGAACTTGTCGCGCTGCACCTTAAACTGCGCGAACAGGTCGTCGTCCTTGTGGCCCTTCAGCCGGTTCTCGATGTCCACCTTCTTGGCATGCTCGTCGCGAATCTCCTCGGTCACCCAGGGCTTGTCGATGGGGTACTGGTTGATTAGGTTCTTCAGCGTCCGGATGCTGCTCTTGCCCTTAACCGCCTGCTTCACCAGCTTGGGATTGGGCTTCTTGATCCGCCCGCCGTTCATGTTCATGGGGCCCATGAAGGGTCCGTTGGGCGGCAGCATGCGCGGCGGCATTCGTGGACCCATCATGTGCATTGGCGGCGGAGGCGGTGGTCCACCCATCGGTCCCATGGGGCCAGGACCAGGTCCACCAGGCCGTGGTCCTCGCGGCCCCCTCATGAAGTGCTGAGGCGGCATTGGCGGTGGTCCACCCATTGGCGGCATTGGACCCCTCATGCCTGGCATGCCGGGCTGAAACGGCATCGGCGGAAACGGCGGCATTGGTCCGAGACCGCCACGGGGTCCTGGACCTGGTCCCATGGGTCCCATTGGACCCATTGGTGGCATCATGTGGCGACCGGGTGGCCTGTTTGGCGGCGGCCCTCTCTGGAAACCGCCGTTGAAGCCGCCGCCGCCTCGGTTAGGACTCATCTGTTGCTGGTGCGGGCCAGGGAAGCGCTGCTGCTTCTGCTGCCAGTCCCCGCCGCCGCCGCCTCCACCGTTGTTGTGGCTGTTGCTGTTATTGTGGCCGTTCATCTGGTTGTTGAACTGTTGCTGCTTGTTCTGGTTGCCTTGGTTGTTCTTACCCTGCTGCTGGAACTGCTGCTGCTGTTTGTTGCCCTTCAGCGGTTTCTTCTTGGGTCCCTCGTTGGAGTTGCCCATATGATGGTTCTGGTTCTTGTTGCCGGCTCCTGGCGCGGGGCTGTTGAAGTCGATGTACAGCGGATCGGGCATCTGACACGAGTTGTACATCATCTGGCCGCCGCCCCCGTTGCCGTTCCCATTGTTCCCGTTTCCATTGCTATTGTTGCCGTGTCCTCCTCCTCCTCCGCCGTGGTTATTGTTGTTGTTGCCGTTATTATTATTGTTGCTGTTGTTGTTCCCCGGACGGAAGGGCTTCCTGTATGGAGCAGCCGCGGCGCGGGCATTGTTCTGGCGCTGCTGGTGCTGTGGGCTTTGCTGTTGCTGCTGCTGGTAGTACTGCTGCTGTTGGTTTTGCTGTTGGTACTGCTGCTGGTGCTGCTGTTGCGGATACTGCTGCATCCCCCAGTTTGACTGCTGCTGTTGCTGAAATTGGTTTTTCGACACCATTTCGCGGCTCGTGGCTCGCTGCTGCTCACTTGTTGGTGGGGCCGGGGCGGACTCGGCAACTAAACACACTGTGGCACGACACACGGTACGGAGCACACTCCAACTGGCTTGGATAGTGGGTGGTTCTACACGCGTTGTTGGTTAACAGAAGAAAGAAAAAAAAATATCATTGATTACGATTCGATTGAAGATTTACTGTCAGCGATGACAGGCACACACGGCGATGAAAATTCCAGGGATGCTCGAAAATCACAGAGTTGCAAAAACGTTAACGTCCCTATCGATAAAATGCGAAATCGATTGACACTATTTTCGAAAATCGGAGTTTTTATTTTCCCAGCTCTAATTTCCTACCAACCAGTGTTGTATAATTTGTTATAAAAAGGTGGTGAAATTGGGAAACGAGATGGTGGAAAACTTTGCTGCCAAAAACGATTCGATAAAATAAAAAATAGTCGATAGACCGATAATATCTAGGGAAAAATCGAAATCGGTTCAGTGACGCTTTTTACGTCACGCACTCGATTTTTATAATAATCGAGTACAATCGAATAATTTTCGAAGTATCGCAAAAAAGCACACACACAGAAGCTGAGTTGTATGCAAAAATTGCGGATTTCAAAATTTGAATTTGAATTTTCCATTTTAAAAAAGCAAATTGAAATGAATGAAAATGAATTTGAATAAAAATTGATTATTGATTTATTAATTATAAAACATATTGTCCTAATTCAACGAATTTGCATAAAATATACATTAAATATATTTTACAAAATTGATTTTACATAAATTGAATTAGTCAGTAAAAATATTTACAGTTGTTGCACAAATATATTAAATATTTAATTTAATACCGATTTTACATAAATTGAATTAGTCAGTAAAAATATTTACAGTTGTTGCACAAATATATTAAATATTTAATTTAATACTTTTGGCTTTTATTTTGCTCTTCTCATTCTCATTCAAAACAAACGTTAATTTTATACATCTTGTACAAAAATTATTGACCCTTTTTATTTACATAAAAATAGTTAAATTAAGGGGGGGTAAGGTTAATTCGGTGCAAAAAAGGCCACTTTTCAAAAATTATTATTGTGGCGGAACGGCTAAAGTTAGCTTAATGAATTAAATACCATATAATAACACAACATTTGAATACTTTTTGATAAATTTTGTATTGAAAAATATTTAGAGGTAGAGAAGTTATAGGGAATCTCCAGAGTCGCCTCCAAAAAAAGTTGTTTTGCGGTGTACATCCTAACAGTCCACAGGATCATCCGATCTAAAAAAATTATACCTCATTCGTTAAAGGATAAGTGTCCCGAGTGTCCCGTGATTTTCGAGCAAGTGAAACTAGGGATGGGAATTCTGTAAGTTTAAAAAGTTTTAGAAATTATACTAAATATATTTATATTAATTGCAGCTTTCTCCATTAACATTATTTTATTTGTTTAATACCAAATGTTAGCTTTAAATAAATAAATCAATGAATTAATTGCAGCTTACTGCAATTACAACTCTCGTTAAATATGTTTATATATATATTATTTTGCAAATTAAAAATCAAAATTTAAATAATTTGAATAAACAAAGTTATTAAATCTATTTTGTGCTCTCTGTAACTTTTTAGCTCTTCTTTCTATCGTCTGTCGATTTCCAATATCGGCCGTTATCGATAGCTGCTGCCATCGCTAAAACTCAGCACGTGTAAATCAAATGTTTGTGGCGGCGGAGTAAAAAATAAACATGGGCAAGAAAAAGCACAACGCCAAGGCACGACAGAACCCGCAAACGATTGTGGACAACTCGGCCGTGAAGAAGGTAATTCCGATCTCTGCCGACGCTGCTCCCTTACTGATCCTCCCTTACCCCGTTGCAGATCCAGATCGATGTGGATGCAGTTGCCGGTGGCAATCAGGCGGGCTATGATGAGGCCAACGCTCTGGTGCTGCCCTCCGAGAAACGGGCCACCAAGATCAAGGTGGACAAGGTGCAGCACGTGAAGATCCTCACCAAGAAGCAGCGCAAGCACCTGCAGGCGATTGTGGACAAGAAAAAGAAAAAGGAAGGCGTAGGTTGCTCTGAGGGAGAATCCTTACCTTCTGACTTACCCCTCGTGTTTCTGTTTGCAGCGCGCCCAGCTGATGGCCGACCTGGCTGCCGTGCAAATCCCCGAGGCCGAACTGCAGCAGTACACCTCCATTAGCCAGGTGCAGACGGTGGGCCTGAAGCGCCTGCCCACGCTCGACGAGTACCTGGCCAAGAAGAAGGCGCGGCAGGCGCAGGTTCTGGCCGAGAAGAGCACGGGCGTCAGGCGGGTGAACGCCATTAAGGGATCCAAGCGGAAACTGCTCGCCGAGGAGCAGGAGGAGCTTGATGCCAAACGTCGCAATCCGAATGTAGTTAGCTTGGAAGAGGACGAGGATGACGACGACGATGATGACGATTCTTCCAGCAGTGACGAGGATGAGGCGCCGCCAGTTCCAGCCTCTGTCCCAGCTCCCATACCCGCTCCAGTGGCTGCTCCGCCCAAAGTCGAAGCAAAGTCCCAAGGAAAGAAAACTAAGGCGGCACCATCAACGTCTGCCTGCACCCACCAGACTGTGTATGTGCCCGTGCATCGGTCCAGCGAGGTGCAGGAGGCCCGCCTCCGCCTGCCCATCCTAGCCGAGGAGCAGGAGGTGATGGAGACCATCAACGAGAACCCCATTGTGATCGTGGCCGGCGAGACGGGCTCGGGCAAGACGACGCAGTTGCCTCAGTTCCTGTACGAGGCAGGCTACGCCCAGCACAAGATGATTGGTGTGACGGAGCCACGGCGGGTGGCCGCCATTGCCATGTCCAAGCGAGTGGCACACGAGATGAATTTGCCGGAGAGCGAGGTCTCCTACCTCATCCGCTTCGAGGGCAACGTGACGCCGGCCACGCGTATCAAGTTCATGACAGACGGCGTGCTCCTCAAGGAGATCGAAACTGATTTCCTGCTCAGCAAGTACTCGGTGATCATCCTGGACGAGGCGCACGAGCGCAGCGTCTACACAGACATCCTGGTGGGCCTGCTCTCGCGGATTGTGCCCCTGCGCCACAAGCGTGGCCAGCCCCTGAAGCTGGTCATCATGTCCGCCACGCTGCGTGTCACCGATTTCACGGAGAATGAACGCCTGTTTAAGGTTCCGCCGCCGCTGCTGAAGGTGGAGGCGCGCCAGTTCCCGGTGACCATTCACTTCCAAAAGCGCACGCCCGATGACTACGTGGCCGAGGCCTACCGCAAGACCCTTAAGATTCACAATCAGCTGCCCGAAGGCGGCATCTTGGTCTTTGTCACGGGACAGCAGGAGGTCAACCAGCTGGTGCGCAAGCTGCGACGAACCTTTCCCTATCACCCGCCCACCTCGTCAGCCAAGGATCGCCCCAAGAAGGCGGGGGAGGACACAAAGACTCTTCAGGCGGCGGCCACAGATTCAGATGTGGAGGTGGAGGACCCCAAGGAGCTGGAGTTTGACATGAAGCGCACTATACGCAACATGCGCAAGTCCAAGAAGAAGTTCCTGGCCCAGATCACCCTGCCCAAGATCAACCTGGACGACTACAAGCTGCCGGGCGACGACACCGAGGCGGATATGCACGAGCAGCAGGACGAGGAGGAGCCGGAGGAGCTGATGCTGGAGGACGACGATGCCGGCGACGACGATGGCGAGGCGGGTCTTATATCCGGCAACAGGCGACCCCTCTGGGTTCTGCCCCTCTACTCGCTGCTCTCGTCGGAGAAGCAGAACCGCATCTTCCAGCCCGTTCCCGAGGGCTGTCGCCTGTGTGTGGTGAGCACGAATGTGGCGGAGACCTCGCTGACCATTCCGCACATCAAATACGTGGTGGACAGTGGCCGCCAGAAGACCCGTCTCTACGACAAGCTAACGGGCGTGAGCGCCTTCGTGGTCACATACACATCCAAGGCATCGGCGGACCAGCGAGCGGGACGAGCGGGTCGGATCAGCGCTGGACATTGCTATCGCCTCTACTCCAGCGCGGTCTACAACGACTGCTTCGAGGCCTTCGCCCAGCCGGACATCCAGATGAAGCCCGTCGAGGATCTCATGCTGCAGATGCGTTGCATGGGCATCGACCGCGTTGTGCACTTTCCCTTTCCCTCGCCGCCAGACCAGACTCAGCTGCAGGCCGCCGAGCATCGGTTGACCGTGCTGGGTGCTCTGGAGGTCAGAAAGTCCTCGGAAAAGACGACCGACTTGCCGCCGGCTGTCACCCGTCTTGGCCAGGTCATCTCCCGTTTTCCCGTGGCCCCGCGGTTCGGCAAGATGCTGGCCCTGTCCAACCAGCAGCAGCTGCTGCCCTACACCGTTTGTCTGGTGGCTGCCCTCTCGGTCCAGGAGGTGCTCATCGAGACGGGGGTGCAGCGGGATGAGGATGTGGCGCCTGGGGCGAATCGCTTCCACCAGAAGCGTCAGAGCTGGGCGGCCAGTGGCAACTACCAGCTACTCGGTGATCCTATGGTCCTGCTTCGAGCTGTCGGAGCGGCGGAGTATGCCGGCTCCCAGGGTCGCCTGTCAGAGTTCTGTACCACCAACGGTCTGCGACCGAAGGCGGTCAGCGAGGTGCGCAAGCTGCGCGTTCAGCTGACCAATGAGATCAACCTGAACGTGAGCGATGTGGAGCTGGGCGTGGATCCGGAACTCAAGCCGCCCACGGATGCCCAGGCGCGTTTTCTGCGCCAGATCCTGCTGGCTGGCATGGGTGACCGCGTGGCCAGAAAGGTGCCGCTGGCCGATATAGCCGACAAGGAAGAGCGGCGGCGACTCAAGTATGCCTACAACTGTGCCGACATGGAGGAGCCGGCCTTTCTGCATGCCTCATCCGTGCTGCGCCAGAAGGCGCCCGAGTGGGTGGTCTATCAGGAGGCCTACGAGCTGCAGAACGGTGACTCCACCAAGATGTTTATAAGAGGTATCACCGCCATAGAGCCGGAGTGGCTGCTCCTCTACGTTCCCCTTCTGTGCAATGTGCGTGAGGTGCGCGAGGATCCTGCTCCCCGGTACGACGAGGCCTCTGGTCGCATATTCTGCTATGTGGACGCCACCTTTGGCAAGGCTGGCTGGGATCTGCCGCTTGGCGAGGTGGAGATGCCGCTCAGCGAGAAGGCCTGCTGGTAGGTGCTCTTGTGCTCTCTTAATTGGTTGTGTTTTTGTGTAAGTCTCTTCTCTTTTATTTTTTCCCCCCCAGCTACTTTGGCATGTTCCTGTTGGAGGGCAGGGTCTGCCCCAAGCTGGCCGAGCTGCGCGGCAAGCTCAAGTCCACTCCCGCCTCCCTGATCAAGAGCTGGTCCAGCATGAACGACAAGGTGTTGCGCTTCAAGCGGGCACTGATCACCAAGCAGATCCACAACCGCCAGGCGCTCTTCGATGAGTTCCGCAGGGATAACCACTGTGAGTATGCTTTGCTTGGCATCCTTGAAACTTAATAACTTGGTAACTTCTCTCTCCTTCTGCAGTCCTCCTGGAGGAGTACCAGAATCTACTGTACGACGTGGCCCTCAGCGAGCTGACGCCTTGGTGGCCGCCTCTGGACAAGAGCTAGCTGCTGGCCTGCTTTTGTATAACAAGTTTCATTTATTATTTATTTAATTGATATACATATATATACATGTATATATATATATAGATTTATATAATTCTTTTATGTATAATATAAATATGAAATTGGTTTTAAATGGAACTAAACACAAGAATGCAGTGGAGTGGCGAGTGGGGGGAATAAGGGGTTCGCTTCGTTAACAGCTAAGTTTGGATATTAATTAAATACAATCCATATTATATGTACATAGCAAATATATGTGTAATATTGAAATTATTTTATGGTATTTTATAATTTGTATTTTTTGTAATTTTTGTATTTTTTCGTAGTTTGTAGTTTGTAGCTTGTATCTTGTATCTGTTGGTTGGTTTCTGGGCTCAACTAATCCCTTCCTTCTCGGTTGTGTCTATGAGAGATTTGGCTAATTGGGGCCTGTGGCTAGGCTGTATATATAGTGGCTAGGGGCTATATATATATATGTATATATAAGCATCGAAAGATCACACAGGTCAATAGCTTTTTAGAACCAAGAACTGGAATATACTTTTTCGAAGGCGTTTTCGATAAGCTGAAGCTGAATTTGAATCAAATTTTTTATGATTTCCTATTCTCCGGTTTTCAAAATATTTATATTCAAGGTGCTGTAATTTCAAAACTGTTTTTGCACTAAAAAATTAATTTTTAAAGTTTACAAAAATTAATTTTGTTCTCTGAGATATAGTCCTTTAAATTTATATTGATTTTGTTCAATATAATTCCATTTCATAGTATATATGAAAAACTAACGATAAAATTAAAAAAAAACAATAAATCGAAGATACATCAAGATTTTTCTAAATTTTACAAACTGATTTTTAAGTGAAAGAAAGTAACACAAGTTTTGAAAAAATAAATAGTATTGAATTTACAGCACCTTAAAAAACCTTATTTTTGGCACTTTCAATATAAAAAATGTTAAAAATCAGACAAATAGGAAATTCTCAGAGACCAGATTTAAATTCAGGTTATCAAAAATCTATCGGAATATGCTTCGATTTTTTTTTAATTTTTAGGCCTGTGTCATCGATTCAGATTCGGACTCGGAGTGGCTTTGTTCGCTGTGCTCTTTCCTCTCTCTCTCTCTCTCTCTCTCTTTCTATGTACATGATGTAAACCTTTAACAGTTCCGGGGATCTTGGGACTCCTTTTTGCGTTAGCTCGTCCTCCTCCTCCTAGGGTGTGTGTGTGTGTGTGTGTGTGTGTGTGTGTGTGTGTGTGTGTGTAGAAAAAATCAGTCTAATATATTAAGGCAACGTGAGAGCTTTACATCGTCGTCATCCTACCCCTACTCCTACTCCTCGCTAATCCCCCTGCTTACACCTAGGAATCGTGTGTAATATCTTATAGTTTTTTCCCCTTTTTGTAACTAAATCCTGTCCGAACTACGCCATTGTCCTTGGTTTCCTACGCTTTAACAATCAATTTTGGTATCCTTTGTGTCTCTGTGGGTTTCGTGTCGTCGTTAACATTAACCTTTAACTTTAGGACCTAGGCTACATAACTAACTGTTACAATATACATATATATATATATATATATAAATTCTTTGTATATAGGTTTTACTGTACTGTATATATTGGCTAGCAAGAAGAGAAAGAGACCGAAGAAGAACGAAGAACGAGAACAAAGTAGTTTGAGTTTCGGTTTGCTTTTTACAAAGTTACAACAATAATGCAAGTTGGATATATATATATGTGTATATATGCTCTCGATCCCCCTATATGCTGAGTATGATCTATGCAACCTTCGCTTAAGACTAACAAATTGAATTCTCCGTGTCCCCTCTCTTCCCAGTTACTATGTCCCTAGATCTACCCTAAACGCAGTCGTTTTATAAACTTTACTTTGATTTGCTTGGAAGTGTGTTTTGCATTCTTTGTTGCTTGTCGCGGAGGAGGAACTAGGCACGGACACGGGCTCCGGAGGAGGGACGAAGGAACACACAATGCGTCCTGTAGTGGGGAAGCCCGGAGCAGGGTAGAGGGGGTTGGGTGGGGGCCCATCCGCTGCTCTGTCTGCTCTTTGCTGATATGTATTACAAGGCTGTGTGCTCCATGTCCATGTCCGTGTCCTGGTCGAGGCGTTCGGGTGAGTTTGCTAGGCAAACAAATGCAGATGATGTTCAGCCTAAACCGTTGTCCCCGTTCCTGAGGCCGTTTCCTCGCCACCATTGCTGTGGGTAACCTCCTCGGGCGTCGCTGCTGCCTCCTGCTCCTCTAGCGGCTCCTCATTCTCCCCCTCCTGGCTCAGAGAGTGGCAACTCGACTTGGAGCTGGAGCTGGAAGTCAGCAGCTCTGCAGGAACGGGGCTAGGCGGAGGTGTGGCTGGATTTGGCTGCTCCTCTGGCCGGGAGACGGTCACCTCTTGCAAAGGGCTCTCATCGGTTTGGTTATCGGCTTCGGTTGAGGTTTCGGGCTCCCTCAAGGACTCGGCTACGAGCTCAGGTTCGGTTACGGGTTCTGTTGGCGACACAGGTTCTGGCTCCATCTCCATCTCCATGTCCTTGTCCTTTTCTAGTTCCTGCTGGGCCTCTTCTTCAGCTTCGTTGGCAGTGACTGTGACTGTGACCGTGTCGGTGGCCTCTGCCGTCTCCTCGTCTGATAACTCCTCCTGCCGGTAAGCGGCCACGGCATTGTCCAGCTTCTGGAGCAGCTCTGGCGACAGCTCGCCCACCTCCTCCAGGCTTCGCTTGTTGTTGTCCGCTATCACCTTCCACATGTTCACCAGTCGGTTGAAGTTCATCAGGTCACGCGGCTGCAGGGGAATGGCATGCGTGGCGGGAGAGTCCTCCTCCTCCTCGTCCTCAGAGCTGCTGCTGCTCACCGCTCGGATCTTGGCCTTGTGGGATTTTGAGGGGCCAGTGGTGTCACCTCCTGCCCCCGTTGTGGTGGTGCCGGAACCTCCACTGCCCCCTATAATGGGCGTGAGGCCGGCCAGCTTCAGCTGCATATTGTACTCATGGAACTCACGCTGGAAGGAGCTGCGCCGCGAGTTGGCCATCTCCTCGGAGCTGCCCATGATCTGGTTGTACTCCCGCAGGCCCAGCTCCTCCACGGGCACGTAGTGCTCACCGATCTCCACCAGGTAGACGCAGCGGTTGACATGAGAACGGAAGCGCATGTCCTTGTGGTTGGGCGCCCAGCAGTGCACCACATGACCGACCATGCCGGCACTGGGCTCCCAGTCCTTCCATGACAACCGGCCGCCATTGTTGCGCATCCGTTCGCTGGGCCACACCACTGCATCGATGATGTCCAGGCAGTCGTAGATCTGCAAGAGAGGGCTTAAAGAGCGCTTCCAAATAGGAGCTACACCCAAGGCTACTCACCCCCGTGTCGTCCACAATGATGACCTTTTTGAAGATATCAATGCGCGGCTTCCGGCTGCTTGCCAGTCCTGGTCCTGTGCCAGTACCTGCTACCGTGCCCACAGTAGCTCCAGAGCTCGACGTGGTAGAGTCTCCGGCGCCCAGAGTTGCGGAGGTGAGGCAGATGGGGCCCTTGGTCTTCCTTGGATAGTCGCCCGGCGTGGTGATGATGTTGCCCAGGCCGACGCCCATTCCATGGCCCAGGCTGCAGGATGAGGAGGAGAGCTTGGCACTGCGCGGACTTGTCTCATGCTCCACCTGGGCCTGGGGTGTGACCAGCTCCTTGCCGGACTCCCCACCGCCCGCTCCCCCGCTGGCAATGGGTAGCGTGGCCCGACGCTCGTGGTCCCTGCCCCGACTGCTGCTCATCTGCTGCTGCTGATGCTGCAACTGGCTCCGGCTGCGCACTCCGCCACTGCTGCTGGTGGCCCTGGCCGCTGCTCCGCTGGGTCCCGAGCCCGAGGAGATCTCCTGATCCCGCTCCCTGTTTAGGAGGCCCGCAATCAGCGTGGTGGATGTGGGCTTCACGGGCATCACGGCCAGGCCGCCGCGGACCACCGCCAGGCTGTCGCTGACATAGTTGCCGCCCAGATTGCCTGCGCCCGGCACATTGCCCGGCCGAACGCTGTAGTAGCTGTTCACGGTGAGGGTGTTGTAGAGTGGTGCCGAGATGAAAACCGGCGCCAGGTCCCCGGATTCACCGCCCGTGCTGCTGGCCGTGCCTGGTGCAGTCACTCCCAGGCCAGAGCCCGCCGAGGCGCCCACACCGGTGGCCGTGGAGGCAGCTCCCACCACGCTGCCGCCGCTGCCAAAGTTGCAGGCACCAAGCTGTATGGGTCCCGAGCCTGGATGCGGTTCCAAGGCCGAGCCCGAGCTGCAGCCTTGTCGACAGCGCTCCCGGATGCGATGCCACCAGCCCAGCACCGTCTGCCTGATGGTGTCCAGCGTGATGGCGCCACCAATCACCTGGCAGAGCTGGGCATTCGTGTCCGCATAGGAGGTGGTCAGCGGCGATACGTAGATAGGGTAGCCAATGGGCTGGTCGCAGCTGGAGTTGATGATGTTGCGCAGCGCCTGCTTGGCGTTCTGGATGCTGCCGCGCTCGGGGTTGCGGTTACGCAGGTAGATCAGCTCCTGCTGCTGCCCGGCCCACAGGCCGCGGACGCACTCCCTGTTCAGCTTGATGACGCGGAAGCTGAGGAAGCGCTTGGTTAGCCGGATAATGCGGTACTCGTCCGAGCCGTCCTCCATCACATGCCGCAGGGCCAGGAGGTTGGGCGCACCGCGAAGCACGGCGCTACGCCACACGGGATCCGCCTCGTGGGAGATGACCAGTTCCTTGGAGCAGTTGTCAATGGCCTCGTAGAGGGCATGAGGATCCAGAAACTCATCCGGATTGGTGATGTGATCCTGCTGTAGCTTCAGGGCCATCTTAACCGCCGGCGCCACTACCGAGTGCAGCAGCTCCATGTCCGCGAAAACCCACTCGTCGCGCGGCGAGGTGATCCTGAAGTCACCCTTGAACAGGGCATGCAGGCCGTGCAGGAAGTACTCCACGCCGGTCAGCGAGCTGTGCGAGGCTGTAGCCAGGGAACGGCGGGCCAGCAGGCCCAGGGCCAGGCAGAGCGAGACCAGCGGCGCCTCCTTGCCCACGCTGGCCAGCTTCAAACGGAGCATTGGCTTCTCCTGGCTGTTGTCCTTGCGGTTGCTTGGCACACCCGCTCCCGGGCCGGGCACAGCGGCTCCAGTGGCCGTGCTGCTGCTCTTGGCCAGCTTGACGAACACATTCTGGTCCATGTAGGTCACATAGTTGCCCAGGCCCGGAGCACTCTCCGATGTCTGCCGGGAGATGTTCGCAAAGCTGTGCGAGCTACTTAGCTGCGGATCATTCCCGCTGCCGCCGGGTACATGGCCAGCTCCTCCGTTGGTGCCTGCGGCAACGGAGCCACCTCCGCTGGTTACGCCTCCTCCGGAGCCGCCCCCGGTGCCGCTCTCCTGGGCCACACTCTTGGGCGGGCGACGCAGCTGCTGCTGCGACTGTGACTTGGACTGGCCCGAGCCAGTCTGCCCGCTAGATCCTCCATGGGCCGAGAGATTGGGCGTGCTCTTGGAATCATTGTGGGCAGGAGTGACCGGTGGCGGCGGCGGCATCTGTGTAGCAACTGCCGTTGGCGGAGCAGACGAGGCACCACCTCCTCCTCCTCCTCCAGGAGCTGATGCTGTCACATCCCGTCGCATGTCCACGCAGTAGTTGATCCACTTCAAGTACACATGGCAGAAGCTGGAGCGCGTAATGCCCACCGCCCGGAAGTCAAAGTCCTCGTCCAGGTTAAAGTTAAAAATGGGATCCAAATCAACGAACTGCCGGCCCAGCGTGTGCTGCAATGCCTCCTGGATGGGCCCCGAGGCCAGCCACTGCTCCAGCTTGGGATTCCTCACCACATAGTAGATGATGCTCTGGGAAAAAGGGGGAGTAGTTGAAGGGGAGGAGGTGAGACAATGGCCAAGGGACACTCACCTTGATGTAGTAGGTGATGAGCACCTTGCGGTACTCAAACACCTGCAACGTGGCGCTGGCCAGGTTGTCCGAAATGGAGTATCCCTCGATCACATACTGGGCGGCGACCACCTGCCAGGCCAGCCAGCGGGTGGAGAACATGGCATTGGCGCTGAGAAGACGCGGCAGATGGCCGGGATCGCAGCAGCAGCAGCCATCGTTGTCCTCCACATCCTCGGTGATGGCCTCCACCTCCCGCTGCTGGCAATAGGTGCCGCGGAACTCCAGGCCGCGCATCTGGAATGTGCACAGGCCGTTGCCCAGCTCGATGATGTGAACCAGGCAGTTGAGATCGTCGGAGGCGAGTACTACTCAAGGGAAGGAGACCATTAAACCCGGGACATGGACACAGGCAGGGACTCAAGACCTACCAAAACAGTCACCCTGATTGACATTCCCCCAGCGACCCAGGAGGAGATCCCCGCACAGCGAGTGCTGCAGGGAGCGTGTGAGATGCTCGTAGAAGATGCTGTTCAGGTTGTTGTCATCCGCCCCCAGATCCCGCTCCAGCTGGGAGCTCAGCCTGGTGTTGGAGTGATCAATCCGGCGAGTGTTGTAGTCGCGCTCCCAGAACTTGATGGGGCGCACATACGAGGTGAGGAAGATGGCGCTGCCCAGGAAGGGATTCAGCGGGGTGGAGAGCAAGGCAGAGATGCCCGCCTGGAGGAACAACATGGCCGAGTGGGGCACGCTGAAGGGCTGGGCGAAGGCATGGAAGGCAGAGCCCCAAGTGATTTGCCAGGGGGCAATGTACGTCACGATGAATTGTAGCTGGAGGAGATTAGGACATGGATTGAAGCGAGATAATGAGAGAGAGAGAGAGAGAGAAAGAGAGAGAGTGTGTGGGAATGAGAAAGGAGTGGAAGACCTACCTTCAGCAGGAAGTCGCAGCACTTGCGGAAGGCCAGCGACACAAAGAAGTAGTCAATGATGAAGGTCTCCGTGGCCATGGAGAAGTCAATGCGGAACAGCAAAACCGTGAAGATGATGATCAGGTATTGGTTGGTAGGATCCGAGTAGGCATTCCTCACGACTGCGGAAAGGGTGGGGTATAGTTAGGTTAGTGGGGCTAGGATTAGGATCTTTAGACCCAGGACTACTCACACTTGAGTGCGCACACAGCCACTATGAGGCTGCCCCAGGGCAGCCCAAACTTGGCCACAATCAGCTGCGAGTCTGCCGTCAGCGAGGATATGGCCAGCAGCGGGAACAGCACATTCCGCTCCAGCACGCTCAGGTAGATGTACAGCTTCTCGAACCACATGATCTGCGGCGCATTGAGCACCTCGAACTGGCCAAACTCCCGCTGCCGCAACAGCGGCCGGGCAAAGCACAGCCACGGCATGTGCTTCCGCATCTGCGGCACGGCGTAGTGCAGCAGCAGGCCCAGCACTCCAATGAAGGCGTAGAGCACCACATTGAGATCCGGCTGCAGGGCGGTGAACACAGTGCTGCAGTGCAGCCCCAGAACGCTCACCGCCAGCAGGGTCATCACCACCAGGTCGTTTTTCAGTCGAGTTGTGACGGTGGCTTGGAGCTTACGGGGCAGTGGATCGGGCAGGTCACTCGAGCTGCTGCTGCCACTAGCATTAGGGTTACTGGTTGCGGCACCACCTCCTCCGCCTCCGCCAGGACCAGTGCCACTGCTATTGTCACTTACCTCGGTGGTGCCCGTGCCTGCCATTCCTGTATTACCATTCCCCCGCTGGGTTTTGTCCTCGGCCGTTGCCTCGCCGGTCTCGTTTTCCCCTGGATCCGCCTCCAGGTAGGCAGGGGGAGTGGCATCTGTTGTGGCTGTGCCTGCTCCCGCCGTCAGGGTTGACATATCGCCCGGATTCGTGGCCGACGAGCTGGAGATTCTGTCCTCCGTCTCCGCTTCCACCTCTGCGTCGTCGACTGCCTTGACTGCCTGCTGCTGCTGGTGCTCATAGGCCGCCAGCAGGTCTGGCGACTGCTCCTCCGTTGTGGCCTCCGCTCCTCCTGCTGCGGCTCCTATAGAGGCATACGAGCTGGAGGCTGTAATGGCCCGCTTGCTGCTACTTATGGTCTTGGCCAGCGTCTGCTGGCTGCTGCCCAAAGACGAGGCCTTCGACTTGCTGTGCTTCTGCCCCAGGGTCCCCAGGTCCTGTTCGGTCTCCAGATGGTCCTCTGCGGGCTCCTCATGGTTGGACGACGCTAGCCCATGCTCCAGTGAGCTTAGCTCGATTTGCTCCTGCTCCTGCGCCTGCACTTTCAGATCTGGGTGGCGGCGCTGCTTAGGTGTGCTGGTGGCCAGCTGGAGGGCAGTGCCAGGCTGGACATGGCTCAGATCATCGTCCTCGTCCTCGTCGTCGCGATAAGTGCTCACAATGCAGGTCTTGATTAGCCGCCACAGGTGGCTAAAGTCGCTGGCGCAACGGGACAGGTGATAGCCCAGCGGCACCAGCATGGCGCAGAAAATGGAGAAGAGGATGTACTGGGTGCCCCGCTGCTCGTCCAGGGCACCATAGAGCGGGCCGTACAGCAGCATCACGGCCAGAACCGAGCGCAGCACGCAGAGAAAGGAACCTTTTAGGGGGGAGGAATGCATGAGTATTCAAGCTCCAAGGAGACGGGAGGAGCACACTTACCCAACAGACTGCTGGCCGCATTTCCGCCAAAGACATGCATATCCACCTGCTCGAGCAGGTACATGAGGAACGTGTTAATCTGCGGGCACAGGCCCACCGAGAAGATGATGGGGAAGCACAGCAGCAGGATGTAAAGCGCCTGCAGCAGCAGGGCCACCACATCGGCGGGGGAGTAGCGCATGCCAAAGAAGATCACCAAATCCGGCGGCCGTTCTCCGTAGTCCATGTCCAGGCGCTTCAGCAGGAGCAGCAGGCCGCCGCCCAAACAGAAGTATATGGCACGGGAGTAGGCCACCGTCTTGTTGAAACCATGCACCGGCGACGCTGCATCTGGCTGGACGCTCTTCACCAGTGAGTACTGTGCCCCGGCAATCACCGCGCAGAAAAGAAGGGCGCACAGATCCTTGTAGTGGTCATGCTGCAGGATAGCCGCACCCAGGCAGGCCACCATGGTGCACAGCAGGCTGGCCAGGAGCACGTGCAGCCAGTGGAGATCCCGGTCGAACAGGGCCAGCAGTTCCAGGCGGTCCATCGAGATCTTGAACTCATGCTCCTGGCCGCACCACTTGAAGCGGTACTTGTAGAAGCTCTTGGGCGCCGCCGGCTTCTCCGCCGCGGTCAGATGGCAGGCCGGCCTCCAGTAGTCGCAGTAGGGAGCAAAGTGTCCGTCCACATTGAGCATGGGCTGTGAGATCTGGCTGATCTGGCTGATTTGGTTGCTGGGATGGTTGGCCAGTCCTAAGGCGCTCAGCACTCCTCCTCCTCCACCGCCGCCGCTGTTGGATACTCCTCCTCCTCCGGCAGTTCCGCCTAATCCCATGCCCATGCCCGAGGCCGATCCAGAGGCCACCTCGCTGTTGCTCGCCGCCACAGCCGCCGCAGCATCGCTAAGCTGCTGAAGGGCATCCAGATGACTACGCGCCATCTGCCGCTCGTTGCGGATGACATTGAACAGTCCCTGAAAGGAGAAGGGCGCTCCGCCGGAGGAGGCGGAGGAGTTGTGCCGCCCGCCCATCAGCATGCCCACCTGCTGTTGCGTCTGCTGCTGTGTCGCCAGCGAGGGGCATCTGGAATTGGCTTCGGCTGCCGCTGCCAGCTGCTCGCACATTAGCTTGGCGTCCAGGCGCAGCTTGTCCCGGGCCAGAGCCCTTTCGATGTTGGTCATGTGCTCCACAGTGGAGGAGGAGGAGGGATGGGCGCACTGCAGGGCCTGGATGGCATCCTGGTAGAACTGGTAGTGGGCATTGGACATGTTCGGAGGCACCAAACTGCTGCTCGCCGGTATGGGGGTGCCATCCGCCGAAATCCCGGCAATCGGACGTCCCCGCTCGTCCACAGCCCCGCCGTGCATCAGCCAGAGCATCTTGTGGATATCCGCCGTCAGGCTGTCCGTCAGGCTGATGCTGTGCGTGGAGTTCGAGGAGGAGGAGTTGCGCGAGGCCAACTTCGACTGCTTGACCAGGGCGAACTCGTTGTTGACATCGCCGGCGTCTGCCGGGGATCCACCCCGCCTGCGCCGCCGCAGCTCGTCCACTTCGCGGTATTTCACCACCTTGGGAATGGCTCCCAGGCTCTTGGCTGCCATTTTCGATGTGCAGGGTTGCTCCTCATCTAGCATGGACCTGGGCGGCGGCTGCTGCTGCTGCTGCTGCTGGTGCTCCGGCTCCATGCCCGCCAGCAGCTGGTCCTTGGAACTGGCACTCACCTGTTCGCAGTCGCTTGAGGGACAGCCCGAATCCGCCTCGCTGCGTATGGGGGCGGGGACAGGAACAGGAGCAGCAGGGACTGCTCCAGATGGGTGCGCCAGCTCCTGGCGCAGCTGCTTATCCGCCTGGATCTCCCGCAGCGTGGCCTGCTGGCGATTGCGATCGCTGAGCAGGGGCGACCTGGAGCCGGTGTTGTTGTCTTCCGTCTCCTCGTCGTCATCATCGTTGCCATTAGTCGCCGCTCCACCTGTAGCTCTTCCCGTTCCCGTTCCAGCCACCGCCGCCGCTTTGTGCTGGTTCTGGAGATGAGGATGGCGCAGCAGATCCCGGGTCTTGAGGACGTCGTCCAGCTGGCTGTGCGTCTGCTGCAGCTCGTTGAGGATGTGCTCCAGGTTGTCGTCGAAATCTTTGAACACATCGTCGTCGTCGTCCGCCAGAATGCCGCCCACATCCGACTCGGCGCTATGGTGCGTCTGGCTGCAGCCCAGGGCTCGCGTCCTCCTGCGTATAGGAACATCGTCCACCTCGTCGTCATCGTCGGCGTTGCCCTGGCCAATGCCCAGGCAGATGTCGTGCTCGGAGGCCTCGTGCGATGTCTTCTCGTCCGAGTGCTCCACTATGGGGTACACCGGGGGCTCTATAAGGGCCGTGGTGGAGCCGCAGGCGCTGGAGCTGCCAAAGAACAGACTGCTGCAAGTGCTGCCAGCTCCAGGAGCTCCGCCGCCGCCGCCTGAGCTGTTTGCTTCTCCGTAGCCCTGCGTGGAAAACAAGTTGAGGTGCTGGTTCCGCACCAGACTCTTACTGGGCGGCGGCAGGGGATTCCGCAACTGTTGTTGCCCCGATATGGCCTCCACGCTGTTCGGATGCGGACTGAGATTGGAGACTGATGGCTGCGGGCAGAGCACTTCCAAAGCGGCGCTCTTGATGCGTCTCACTCCGCCGCCGCCAGTTCCTCCGCTGCCGTTCACTAGGCCCACTCCTCCGCTGGCAGTGCCGCTGGCTCCACTGCTGCTGCCACCCATCAGGGAGGATTTGATTCCCTGACCCGACGAGCTGCCCTGCTTGTGGTAGCTGGTGGCATTGGAATGTCTGCGTCGTTTCATGCCCGCAGCAGAGCTGCCTGCTCCGGCTCCGGCTCCTGATCCCGTTCCGGTTCCACTACCGCTGGCCCCCAATCCGCCTCCTGCTCCCTGAAGCGGACCGCCGCCGGCCAGCTGGAGCGCCGACATGGTGCTGGTGGGATCCTTGCGGATGATGGCGCCGCCCAGGTGATGGTGCAGGTGGTGGTGGTGGTGGTGATGATGATGGTGATGCTGGGCACGGAAAGCCGGCTGATGCGGCTGCTCAATGCCCAGATCCGATTTGGTGTAGCTATCGTCCTCCAAGTACACATCCGACGAGGAATCTAAGGGTAAAACAAGTGAAACGTTAGAAAGAGGCTTCCATGCCAGTGAGCTTAGCTCACCTAGTATCCAGGACTGCAGGGCCCGGGTGCAGGCATCAGCCACTCCACCGCTTCCCGCATTCCTGGCCAGACCCAACTCCATGTCCTCCACGTCGTTGGCACCGCCACTGCCACAGCCGCTGCCGCTGCCACTGCCGCCTCCAATCACCGCCAGCGCTCCAATGCTGCTGGCTGCACTCTGGTGGGGATGATGCAGGATCGGCTGGAAGAGGCCACCGCGGTTCTGATGCTTCAACCGCTCGTCGTGCGTCTCGGAGCTGCGGTGCCGCTGCAGACGCGACGAGCGTCCGGGATTCGCTGAGGAGGTGGAACTCGAGGCGGGTGCAATCACCACCACCGCAGTGGAGGAGGAAGCATCTCCCATTCCCATTCCCGCCGTGGCTGGTGTGCTGGCTATAAAATGCTGGCGGGGATTCGCCTGGTTGCGCGCCTTATTCGTTGGCTGGGAGTGCAGGAACGACGGCGCCGCCGTGGCTATCGTGTCCGACTGGTTACGCATCAATTTATGCTCACCACCGGCACCAGATGCTGCTGCTGCCGCCGCCGCGGCAGTGTCCAAGCTGCTCTGTCGCTCCAAACGTCGTCGGTGGCGGCGGCTGAATACCTCGGAGCACTTGCGTGATAAATGCCCGGTTCTTACATGCTGCACTGGACCCACTCCTGCCAGTGCTGGCCCGGATCTGCTGTCGCCGCCACTGCTGCCGCCGTCGGCGCTGCCCGCACTGCTGCCGGGTGCCTCCACCAGCTCCGGATAGACGGTGAGGTACTTGTTGAAGAGCTCCGCCTGGGCGGCAGCACTGTTGGATGAGCTGGCACCGCCTCCGCCCACGGCTCCACCCGTGCTCCGTATGGACTTGCTCACACTGGCAGAACCTGCCAGGGACTGCTGATCCTGTTGGATGCCGCCGGACAGCATAGAGGGGGCATAGAACATGAGCTCGATGGACTCCGAGCTGTTTTTACGATGCACATCGACCTTGAGATCTGGGGAAGGCAATGGTTATGAGATTCTACGGATTGGGACAGAAGAGAGGGCGCACTCACCAATTATACTGTTCACATTGTCAATGGACATCATGCTGTTCTCCTCGCTTGCCTCGTTGATGGCCTGCTCCACGGAAATGCGAGAGCCGCCCGGCCGAATGACCTTCATCTCGATGCCGCCCTCGTCGTCATGCCTGGGCTCCGTCTCCTTGGTGACCTTGAAGAACTGCCCCTTGAGGTTCACATCGGACATGGTCTGGGCGCGATCGTACAGCCGATGCAGTGCCAGGTTGGCCAGTTTCACCATCAAAATGGTGAGGCTGGTGAGCACGCAGTACAGGCACCATGTCAGCCAAGTGCTTGGGAAATACTAAGAAGCCAAAAGGGAATTCGGTTACGCCGAGGGTCTAAACTGAGCTGGGGGCAGGGAACGCTACTTACCAGGTAGGCCACGAAGGGCGAACAGAGCAGGTAGAGCCATAGGTACAGGTGCACCACGTTGCAGAAGACACCCTGATGCGGATCGTAGAAGTAGCCGCCGGTCAGCGAGGCCCACACGCCCTGGCGCAGTATCTCCAAGGTCTGCGAACCCATGGTGGCCTATGCTGCATCTCTCAGCTGCCGGATGGATATGGATCCACGTTGCTCAGACTTCAGCAGTGCCTCTGCCTCGGCAAGTGCTTGTTCTTGTGCTGGCTGCTTCCGCTTACTCACAGGAGGCTGCCTGCTCTCCCCGCAAGGCGCTGCGTTGCGTTTCGTTTGTTTTCTTTGCTGATTAAGCCCCCGGACAGGGGATACTCAGAGCTGGATGACTGGATGATGGCTGAAGGGCAGGAGGGGCTGGGCAAGCAGGCGGGGGCGGGGCGGTTTCGCTCTGCTTTTCGGGGGGAAAGCTGTGTGTGTGGGGCAAGGCAATGCTGCGGCTCTGGGTCGCTCTTCGGCGCGGACTCCGGGACTGGCGCTCCTCCGTTGTAGGACAGCGGAATGGCGGAGGTCGCGATTTGGGACTGCGAACGAAAAAATCTAATCTCGCTCGCCGTAATTTAAAAAAAATTGCAGTTTTTCTTTTGTTAATTAAATCAGTGTTGCCAGGTAGCGTTTGACAAGAGATACTAGATAATGAGGCACTAAAACAATGTGCGTCAAGTTAGCGTCGTTAGCGTCGAAATGGAACGTGGGAAAATGGAACACGGACGATCTGGTGCTTTTCGTGTACGAGCGACAAAAAATACCATATTGTCCGTTGATGAGGTAACAGAACTAGTTCCTGATCCAAAGAACGAACCATGTTCAAAAAATACTAGATTTTTCCCACCATTCCATTTTGACGCTAACGGACCGACGCTAACTTGACACACATTTAAAAGTGCACTTCTGGCGAGGATTATGACCACCGCCGGCACAGCCAAATCCAAGGCCAAGTCCGAGTATCCCACCTACGTGGTCTTGGGCTCCGGCGGCCATACGGCCGAGATGTGCCGGCTGACCCAGGCGCTATTGCAGCAGGAGGATGTCAAGCAGGCGGGGAAGTACCAGCCCATACGCTTCATCCTGGCCAGCAGCGACACCACATCCGAGCGTCAGCTAAGGGAGGCCCTGCCAGTGCCCGTGGCAGCCCGCTCGGACTTTGTGAGGGTACCACGTAGCCGCAGCGTTGGACAATCCTGGCTTAGCAGCATCTTCACCACGCTTTGGGCACTCCTCTGGAGCTGCTATTTGGTGTGGCAAGATCGGCCGCAGCTAATACTCTGCAATGGTCCCGGCACCTGTGTGCCCTTCTGCTATGCTGCCTATCTGTGGCGGCTGCTCGGACGCCTGCCCGCTGGCTCCCGGATCGTGTTCGTCGAGAGTTTCTGCCGGGTGGAAAGCCTTTCGTTGAGCGGACGACTGCTGCTGCCGCTGGCGGACCTATTTGTTGTCCACTGGCCGGCACTGGCCACCCGATATTCGCACAAGCGAAACCTCCGCTACTTTGGTCGCATTTTGTAACATTATTTATTAATTAAAGAGATTAACGTAAAGGAAAACAATTCTCAAGTGGAGTGTGTGTGTGAAATCTCAGTGGCGCCGCTTCTTGCCAGGGCAGATTTGGCGATGGGCCTCAAGCTGGTGGCCCATAAACTCTTGACCACACTTCGGGCAGCCGACAGTCGACTTGAACAGGCCACGCTGGCGGCGCTGGCGCGGTGTTAGCTCATCCTCGCTGGCCAGCATCGAGGTGGAGTCGTCGCTAGAGCTGCTCAGGTTAAGGGCAGCGACCTCGGACTCAGTGTAGCCGCAGGAACGCAGTGTATTCTTGGTCGACTCCGATTTGGATTTGCGGCCGCGCACAGACGACTCTGTCTTGGTGACACCGCCTCCGCCGGCACGTTTGAAGGAAGGCGGCGCCACGCGCTGTGTAATACTGCAGCCATCCAAGTGATTGGACAGATCGATGCGCCTTATCGAATCGAAGCATATTGGACAGCAGACAATGTCGGTCTCCTCATTATTGACGTGGCTGGAGCAGCTGGGCACCACGTCGTTGTGGTTACGGAACTCCAGCAACAGCGAGGCGTGGCCATCCATGCCGATGGGGTTAATCGCAGGATCGTTGCCCTCCTCGCGCTCCTCATCGTTGTACTCGTCATCGATGAAGACGATATCGTCTTTGACGAATGAAATGGATTCATCCTCTAAAACTTCGCGCTTTACATTCTCCGAGCGCTCCTGGCTGCTCATGGGAAAGCGTCTTGGTGGCACCTTGAACTGCAGCTGCTCATCATCATCCTCGCTATCGCTGTCGAGGTTAACCGGCACTGCATCGACTTCCTCAATGGACTCCCAATGTTGTATTTCGCAGTCACTAGTGTCGTCGTCGCGGCGCCGCTTTTTGGGGTCCTTCCCAGCCGTCTTATCAATTTTTCTCTTGCTAGACATGTCCTTATGAGCAGCAGGCTCATCATCGGAACTGCTGGAATCATCGATTAGGTTTATCATAATCTCTGGGGCATCTCTGACCATTACATCCTCGTCATAGGACTCCCATTGTTCTGATTTTTTGTTGCCATTTACGCTGGGCTCACTGGGCGGCGTCTGCTTTTTCTGCTTGCCGAAGCGCCGTTCACGGATTTCACGTATGCTTCGGGCCTCTCCATGCGCAGCTCCGGGCATAGCGTAGCCCTCTTCGGTCTCTTTAAACGATGGAAACTTCTCGCGGTTGGTTTTCGCCGGCGGTTCATCATCTTCGCTGTCGCGGCTCAAGTCTCCGAAACTCTTAATGTTGGCTCCAGCCGGTTTTGGCTTAAACTGTGGCGGCCAGGGATTTGGCAATGTAGAATTATTGCCGCCCTGCAAGGGTTTCGATGGCGGAACGGCGCCCCGGACGGCATTATTGGTGGCTGGCTTCTTGGCCGGCGGCTTCTTAAACCACCCGCGTATATCGGTCTTGGGATCAGCCACGGCTGGCGGAGCCTTTTTCGAGGTTTTAGGGGGCTTGATTGCCTTGGGAGGCTTCGGTGCCTTGGTTGGCTCACTGACCTTCATGAATGTGCCGCCGCAATCGCGCTGATGCTTCTCCCACCACTGGTCGCTGGGGCCGGGAGCACGATTGGAGGTGCGCTTCACCCAGCCCATGAAGGGAGTGTGGTTCTGGCAGATCCCAGTGCAGCGCCAGATGTGCGTGCGATAGGCAGCCACCTCGTCGTGGAAGCTGTGGTACACAGTGATATTCGTGCCCGCCACCTTGTTGATCATGTTCATTTTTTGTTTAAAATTTGGCCCATGGCCGCCATTGCCCTCGCGCACGTTTAGGATAAAGAAGTAGGCGTGTATCATCTCGTGCTGCAGGACCAAGAGGCATTACAAGGACTGTCGAGTTCATCTGGATGTCTAATACTCACCAGCAGGGTCTCGACGAGATCTTTGCGCGGACGCAGCTTGAGCAGCGGCTCGCTGAGGCGGATGGTCACCTCTTTAATGTATCTATTGGACCTCTGGTAGCATATGCCAGCGCAGGAAAACATGCGCTTGCTCCACTCCAGGACGACGGCCCCGAGTCGATCTTGAAAGAATTTCTGGTTGAACCGACTAAACATCGAGTATATGTCGGGGCTAGGGTCCACCAGCTCCCACCCGGGGTGCACCAGGTTCTGGGTCTGATTAAGATAGTCAGGCGCCACATCCTCCGGTTTGTATGAGTCTTTTGGTTTCTGCTGCGGAGGTCTGGCGTGCTGCACACTATCAGGTTGTTCTCCGTCGGAGTAAATGAACTGGAGGCTGCTGTCCAGTTCGCTGTCATTGAGTTGAGCCTGCAGCTGCCGGGCAAACTGCAAATCCCCGTCCTGGGCATACGAGATGTCAGAAAATGATGTTTCCCCCCATGTCATTTGCTTAGCTACTCACTTCATCTGCCTGCGAGCGGTTTGCCGCGGTGTCATCGTCACCGTTTAGATCCTTGTGCAAGCGCATGGCCAGCTGGTAGTCGGCGTCCTCGTCCGACATGTTGCCAGTGTGTTGATCTCCGGAAGGAACTGGAGATCCCCCAGCATCTGTTCTTTCTTCAAACCTGGATGGATGCCTCGGAATAAGCGCGCCGTCGTGCAGTACACCGTTCTCTTAAAAATACCAAAGACGATAGTACCAACGCGTTAAGTGATTTTCGACGATATCGATAACAGTGTAAAATTGCGTGAAAAACTACAAAATTTTTAAAAGTATTGCGAGAAAAATCAAAATATTCGGAATATTAAGGCACACAACTGGGTGCGACGAGGACTGGCGACTGAAAAATTTTCAGTGAGAGTGATAAATGAAAAATGAGCATGACTCGGCCTGGCTATCTTGGATGACAAAAAAATAACAATAATTTACTGGATTTAATCTCTGCCTAAATATAGTAAATACCGCCGATAACTCAAATCATCGAATTCGCCTCGTTGAGTTGGTTTCAAACGCGCGAAGCGTACGGTGCGTGCTTTTTTTTTTTTTTTTTTTTCAAGATGCCAGTCGTGAAACATCTTACCAATCGCCAAAAGAAGCGCCAGGAGAAATCGCGAGAAAGTTTAATTCCAAACGACGGCAAAAGCGGAAAAAAGACGAAGAGCGGAGCGGGAAAAACCCTTGTGTTAAGCTAAATCAAACGGCAAGTGGACTTGTTCCCAAAGTGAGTGCTACAAATTATTCTCCTTGCTCTGGTGCCGCTCTTCTCCGGCATTCTCCTAGCTTTTGTTTACCATGCTTCCCCAACCTTTGCCATTTGCAGGGAGGTGTCCCTAACCAGGTCGCAGACTCCATCGAACGGTAAGTTTACTATCTCAATTTATCCGGCTCGATAAAATCTGGCGTCGTCAACAAATCCCTGAAATGTTCATAAACAAACTGCGCGACGCACGACACCAGCAACAAAAAACATGATAACTGCCCGAAAAAACTGAATTTTGCTATCATGGAAGAGCAAGAGTGTTGGCCAAAACAAATCCTACGACATCCAGTGCCAGAATTAAAAGAAAACCTTTTTGTGTCCGTTCCTCCTATTAATTATCATTCGGCATTTCCTCAACGCATATTATTTAGTGTTTCGGACAACTCTTTGCCACAAATCAAAATAAAGATTTCATCTTATTAGATTTTTTGCAAATCCGGAAGTTGCTGAAATTTTGAAGCACGTGTTCTTTCGTGCTCGCTTTTGCTCTTCATCCGCCATGTTTTGTGCGTGCTTTTCAGTGTTGGTAAACTTGTGATTTGTTTTGTTTTGCATAAACATTTTCAGCAACATTTCCCTCATATTTCTCGAAGTCTGCAGGCGTTATGATACATCAGCGTTAAATAGTTTAGATCATATTCCAAAAAGTGTATATTTTAATGTCAAGTCTATGCATATTCATGATTGTTGGCGGCAATGTTTAGAGTAGAGTTTGTGTAGAGTGTTTAATTTCCAACCAATACAGGGGCTTATCCTGTCTCCCTCTCATTCTTGTGTTTTCGCAAAGTAAACGCCGATTTGGAAGAAGTTGGACCGAATGATGACTCTTTGTTACGACTTCATTCAATTTGGCTTCGTAGTTCTCCTCCATATAGTTTCTCTAGGTATTTATACTCGTCTTCTGACCCAATATTAATCAAATAACATAATACAAGAAAATAAGAATCTAACACTAAGTTTGTAGGAATTTGTTTTAGTTTACAAACTAATTTGGTTTGATTCTAATACCCCTTTAGCGTGACGAACTCCATCTATTAACTAATGTGACTAATAATTTTTATTAAATAACATTACTTACAAAATAAATAATAATACAACATAACAATAGATCCGGTAATTATATAATTTGTAACAATTAAAAAATGGGTTCATTGGGGGGGCATAATTTATATTCAAGGTTTTTGATATTTAAATTAATCATTTAATATTATTAATATTTAATTGAATTACTTAATCTTTTTAATATTTAATATATCTTTTCTCTGTCCACCGCAGACAGCCCTAGGGCACCTTTGCTTCCTTCTCCAGAAATGCCGGGATATAGCAACCAACTAAACAAGCACAGGAACTACAGAAATAAACCCATTAGGAAGTGCAAGAACCAGATAAAGGGACCGGTTCAGTATTACGGTCGCAAGTCGTTTAATCATTCGACAAGTGTTGTACACTATAAGAAAATCAAAGCAACATTTAAAAAGTCCAAGCTCTGGGCTTTAAAGAGGCTGCAGACCAAGAAAAAAAAGCAAGAGAAACGAGCAGTTAAGCGTAAAGCATCCTCAGCCGCAATGGCAGCCAAAGCTCCTGCATTGTCCAAGCCAGAATCAGCCATGAGCACCTCTGGACCAGCAGTTGCATCAGCAATTTTGACAGCAGAAGAGGAATGGCGCCAGCTGGACCTCGGGCCTATGTCGTTCCAGAGGTACATCCACGGATGCGTTGACTGGATGATGCGTCCCCCTGAAAATGCGAGCATAAATAAAGCCATCAGCGCTAGGCAGCCACCCAAGCTGAATCCTATCGGCTACGAGATGCTTGCCAAGGAGCAGATGTCACCCCGCACCCATATGGCCAATCCTCAGCAAGAGTGGGATGATGCCGTGCTACAGATTGCCATGCAGATGGATGCAGTGAAGCTTAGTGTTATGTCACCTCATGAATTCAATCTGGCTCTCATGGCAGAGGGTCTTGATTTCACGAAATTCCCTCGCCGCCAACCTGAGCCTGCCAACTGGATGTGCAAGGCTATACTGAATATCGTTAATGAGTCGAACGAGCCGAGCCCAAACAACGATTTTCTAGATTCTTGGCGCTTCCAAGATTCCTCCCCGCCGCTTTCTGGCTCTGAGATTCGCGCCCAGATAGACCGTGCCGTGGCGCAGGTGCCAGAAAGGTCGCTATCGCCAATTGCCGCCGCTTCGCTCGTTGTCCAGCCAACGTATGATGTTGTCCAAATGCCACCCACATATGATGATGAGCCTCTCCAGATGCCTGAGGAGGATCAGCAGGCCCAAACGCCTAAGCAGATAGCTAAACATCAACAAAAACCACCGAAGGATGACAATCGTCGATCCTCTAATAACTTTTTTCGTCGCCGAAACTCCTACCGTGCGGGAAGAGGACGTTTTTGGCAGACTCAGCTTTACCAGAACTGTGAGAATTATCAGTGCGAGGACAGGAACCACAATCCGCATCTTGAGCAGTCGCAGGTGCCGGATGAGAATTACAACTCGAATCTGATGGAAGCATCACCACCAGTAGAGTCATTCCAGGGCATGATACCTGCCCACAACTATGGCCCGTATCCGAATATGCCACCCTATCAGAATATGCCACCCTATCAGAGTATGCCACCCTATATGCTGTACCCAGGGGCCCAGCCAGAGCACCAGCCAGTGGCTGCTGATTCGGTAGCCAATTTCGGTAATCCACCGACGCCGATCAATCCGAGCAACAACAACAGTATCGTGGGACCACCACATCCATTTCATCAGACCAACAAGAACCATTATGCGCCCATGATGATGCCTCAACGAATATTTCCGAATCAACATCAACGAATGGAAGTATCCCACCGAATCAGGGAGATCAACGAGCGGCAGATGCAGCTCCAACAGCAGGTTGGTTATCTTCCTGGTTTTCATCCTACTTATCTTCCCGGCTACAACCCTTGGTATCCTTATGGCAATCCACCTGGGTATTATCTGATTTATCACCCTGGTGGTCACTGGCCGCCAGAGCCTAACATGCAGTAAGACACGTATTTTGTGGCTCCTACAGGTTCGTTGTCGGCGCTTATAATCAAAATGACTAATTCATTATAAATTTATATATATATTTAAGAGTTTGCAGAAGTAACTTTCTTGATTTTTAAATTTTTTTCATTTTTAAAGCGATTTTTAATTGTTTTGGATCTAAATTCAATTTTTTTTTTATACTAATCAATTGTTTATACTTTTTGCATGTATATTTAAAATGTAGTCTTTTTTAAATCTCGATTTGACCTTAGTAAATGTTATTTAAATGTTTTTAACAATGTAACCATTTCTTTATGTTGATTTTTAATACAGAAATTCCAAAAGTCTGGATACAGATTTTCGACATTGGGAGCTGCGAATTCACTGAGATTTTTTCCATTTTCACGGAAAAGAAATGTACCTCCTTGGAAGGCTAGTGATTATAATCCCACCTTTCCCTTTCCCTTTGGTCCTGGAAAAGAGAATGACTTCAAGCTGAGCGACGCGAATTTTCCACCACTACCCGTTCCACTCAAAATTCGCCAACTGACGGAGAAAATGATCGAATAACTGTATTTTATGGAACCTAAAGACTGAAGCAAAGTATTATTTTTTTTTACCGTTAAGAAGGAAAATGTATTTTTAAAGAACACTGAAGTGCCTTTTAAAACAAGCAAGCATTTTTTTAATGAATTTTGGAAGATGTGTTTTGTAATGCGAAAACGAATGTAATCATTTTTTTTGTATATATAAAAATGCATTTATTAACCAAAAATATTTTTTTTTAATATTTAAAGAAATGAAGTTCCTTTTAAAAATAATGTAAACATTTGTTTTACGAATGTTGAACTCATTTTTGGTTTTAGATTAAAAAAAAAATAGAACGTATACTTACACAATAGTGTAAAAGGAACTGGAACATACAGGAATGTAGCCGCTTTCTGTTTTTTTTTTTTTTTTTTTTTTTAACCTATTTAAAAAAAAATTAAAACTTATTAATATCTAAAAGGATAATAAAAATGGCTCAAAAAGGCCTTAATACCAAAAATAATATTTTAAATATTTAAAGAAATGTCAAAGTGCCTTTTAAAACAAGCAAGCATTTGTTTTACGAAGATGTTGGAGATGGAAGATGTGTTTTGTAAAGCGAAAAAGAATGTAATATATATATATATATATATATATATATATATATATATATTTTTTTAACAAAAAAAAAGCATTTACTATAAAAAATAATATTTTAAATATTTAAATAAATGATGTTCCTTTTTAGAACAATGTAAGCATTTGTTTACGGAAGTTGACTTCTTAGTTATAAATTAAAAAAAAACATACTTACATAATCGTTCAAGATGAAATGAAACAAACCAGAAGATACAAGAATGTAGCTGATTTTTATAATTTTTTTTTTTTTGTGTTAAACTTATTATAGAAAAAATAATACTGATAAACATGGTTCAGAAAGACCGTAATACCAAAAAAGAATATTTAAAATATTTATAGAAGTTCCTTTTAAAAACAAAGCAAGCTTATGTTTTACGAATGTTGAAGACTTATTTTTAGTTTAAAATTTAAAAAAGAATGCATACATACATAATAGTTTAAGATACACCATATTCGAAATCTCAAAATTTAACTTGTGTATATAATAGAAACGAATTATAACTTTTTTTTTTATATATATTATATATTATTTTTTGTATTATATTTACGCAAAAGACTGTGAACTTCCAAAACAAAGGAGATGAATTTAAACGAATAAAGATGGAATTCTCAGTGTTTATACATACCAATAAAAAGAATGTAATGTTTTTCCTTTTTTGAATTGCGATAGTTTCTGACAACTTGGCGACAATTATCGATAAGTGCCCAAGTTTTTATTCCCTTTTCTGGCATATTTAGTGCATGCCTTCAACTGGCATATTTCGAACGAACGACCACACTGGCCGCTATGTTTCTCGAGTAATTTTTTTTGTCGCACTTTTCGGCGCTTAAACGCATTTTCTGCGAAATATAATGGAGGCGCTGGTCAATTACAGCAGCGAGGATGACCAGGACGATGCCGGCTACCAGATACGGGTAATTATAAAAACTCCGCTGAATCGGGCGCAGCTGGAAAACTAAATAAAAAAATAGAAAATCGAAATCCAATGTCAGAGCGCATTTTGTGTACACCTCGTCTGTGTGCGTGTGTGTGTGTGTCTGTGGTGGCGTGCGTGCATGCGTGTGTGCGCAAGGCGTTAAAATTAAAAAAAAAAAACTGATCCCATAATCCCCTACTAACTCTAATTTAGTTGTATATTTAGTGCTTTAGTAAAATAATGCGAATTTGCTGTTTCTGAATAGTTGAAAAATTCCCCTAGGCACCACAACAACAACAACAGCAGCAGCCTGCAGCCAAGGGAAAAACATCCGTAAAGCAGAGGGCCAAAAACAACATCAATAGTAGTAGTAACAGCAGGAACAACAATAATATCGGCAGCAGCGACGGTGACGGCGACGCCGACGTCTGTGCCGGCAGAGAGAGCGCCGGCAACGGCAGCAGCCCTAGAGAAAGGCCGAAAAAACGGCATCACACTCCACCGCTGTCGACGTCGCAGCAGCTGCAGCAGCAGCAGCATCATCACAGGAGCAGCAGCAGAGGCCGCATAGATGAGGTAAAGAATTGATGTTCTACAAAATCGATTTGTAAATACATATGTATATCCTCCATTGAGACAGTCTCAATCAAATGTGCGTGTGTCTGTGTTTCCGTAATTTTGGGTTGGAGCGGATGCGAATCTTCCACGCGATATTTCCTTCCGCTGCCAGCGCCAGCATCGCTGCTGGCATCTTCACACACATAACGGACAGCGGCAAACAGTGGCGGGCAGGCCATTAGGCACACATATGGACACAAATAATACACAAGCCCACAAATCAATAATACGGTTTCTCCTCCTTCACGTGCCAGCGTGCTCAGCCTTGATCTCAATTCCACTTGGATGTGTCAATGCGCCTCTAAATCCTGGAATTCAGGCATTAATCGATAAATTTACATTGAAATTCATTTTCTTTTGGAACAAATTTTAAAAATTATTTAATTTTTAATGTGGATTTTGATAATACTTTTGTGCCACTAAAATCACACAGTTTTTTTTTTTTTTTTTTTTTTTTAATTCAACATTCTTACAGTTATTGATATAACAAAAATTATGTCAAATAATTAAAACTTCTGATTTTATTGTGTGTGTTGTGCCACCCGCCACTGTGCTCTGCCCCGTTCGGTTTCCGTCTCCTCCTCCTGAAATTCAGAATCTTTCGATCTGACCGATCGGTGTGACATGCGGCGCTGCTGTGCCTTGCTCCAACCCAATCCCCCCCAAAAGAAAAATGTTTAATTTTAGCCACTGCGCCAGCATAAATCCAAAAATTTGTCTCCTTTTGGCTCTGTTCTTTTGTCGAAAAAAGAAATAAAAAATCGAAAAGCCCATGTCGGTCCGCTTTGTGTGATTGCACACTTTGTTGTTGTTGTTTGTTGGGACCCAGCTTAGTTAAGTTTTTACCATTTTATATGCCAATTAATATTTAAATGACTAAACTCTACCATTTTATTATCATTGTTATTGTTATTATGTAAACGAAACCAAACCAAAACCAGACAAAAATCAAAAAACACTTTTAAAAAGAAAAAAAAAAATTAAAGAGTAAATCCTGACCTACGACTATTGACGATTCCTCCTCGCTCGTGGCAAATCGCACGATTGCCGATAACCAAATAGCCTCGATAACGCGACAATCGAACTGATTTGTAGAGTCTAGGCTTGTGTGTGTCTCCGTGGCTGTGATGTGGTGGTGTGCTCGTGTCCAGGACACGCACACCCACCATACACACGTCCGCACCCGCCCGCACATACACACTCACACACACACTCTCCCTCACTGGTGGCGCGAAAGCGAAAGCAAGAGAGAAAGTGAATGAGAGAGAGAAAGAGATTAAGAGGGAACCGCACGAAAGTGAGTATACAAAAAAAAAAAAAGTGATCAAAAAAAAATCTTAACTACTCTCTAAGCAATCTAGGATACCACAACGGAGCCCAGCTCTCAGAGGACCAGCCTCCGTTCGGTTCCCCAGCCGGTGGCCACATACAATCGAATCGAACCATTCTAGCCCCTAGATTGTAGATCCTTTTGCCTGCCCAAGGAGTGGCGCTGAATCGCTTTAATGTAATTCTTCTCGGTGGGCTCTCTGCCCTCTTGCCGTTTCAGGATCCGCAGCAGAGTCGCCATCAGCGTCAGGAGCGCGACAGGGATCGCGATAGGGAGCGGGACTGGCACAGGAACAAGGATCGCGAGCGTGACAGGGAGAGGGAGCGGGAGAAGCGCGATCTAGAACGCGGCAGGGACAAGGAGCGTGACAGGGATCACAGCAAGGTGAGCACTAATCTCAAGTCCATCTAAAAATACCTTGAAAATATGCATAAAGTGTGCAATTCCAGGGAAACCTTTTCGTATTATTCCGTATCCCTCATTGAACCTGATTCTTCTCTTGCAGAACGAGCATCGTCATCATCGTACCAAAGACAGCCATGGTCACCGGGAGCGCGAGAGAGAGCGTGAGCGGGACAAGGACAGGGAGAGAGACCGGGATCGGGATCAGCGGGTTCGCGACAAAGATCGCCGGCGATCGGAGAAGAGCAGTCGCCATCACAGCGGCAAGGATCAGCGCCACCACCACCACAACTCCTCATCTTCCTCCGCTTCAGTCACAGCCGCAAGCGCTGCTACTCAGCGCCGCTCCTACGATGATCGCGGCGGTCGCCGGCGCCGTGATTCCCGCTCACGTTCCCGCTCTCGATCACGCACGCCCACGGGAACGCCGCCCTCTCGTCGCCGCCAGCAGGCGCAGCAGCATCAGCAATCGCGCAAATATCGCGAACGCGACTCTAGCAGCCGCTCCCGATCTCCCAAGGAAGAGCAATCCCAGGCGCTCCGCGGAGGAGCTATATCCGGAGCTCATCATCTGCTGAACAAATCCGGCGGCGGCGGTGGATCTTCAGCAGCTGCCTCCGTGGCAGCAGCGGCTGCTCTGGCAGCCGCTAATGCAGCAGCCGCAGCTATGGCTTCCGGAGGAGGCAACGCCAGCGGCAGCGGTCTTCTGCCCACGCCCAACTACGCACCCAAGATACCCTCGCTGATGTCCCTGGAGCTGGCCACCCCAGCAGTAGCAACTCCTGCGGCGGAACCTATCCAACTGCCCAGCTACTACAATCCGGGCATTATCAATGCCAATCGCTATGCGGAGCAGCAGCACAAGCGCAAGCTTCTTTGGGGCTCCAAGAAGAGCGAGGACTCGGCGAACAAGTGGGGCAACGCCCACTTTTCCCAGGACTCTGACGGCAAGGTGGCCTCAAAGTTTATGCGCCTGATGGGCATCAAGAATGCCGGCTCATCCGGTGATGGGGATCCTAACAGCAGCAGTGGCGGAGTTAGTGAGCCGGCGGAGGCCAGCAATGGCAATGCAGGCAGCGAAGCAAGCGCAGTTTCTGCCGGAGCAGCTCATGCTGGCGGAGCAGCCGGTGTGGGCGTACCGGCGGATGTCCAGCTGCGCCAGCGCATGTTCTCCAACATGGAGCAGCAGTACGAGATGGCACGAGCGGCCACTCACACAATGCGCGGCGTGGGTCTCGGTTTCGGCTCCCAGCCACGCTCTTTCTAGACGGGATTGTCGGAGGCTGAGAAAGAGAGAAGGAGGAGGAGGAGGAGGAGGAGAAGCTCCCAACCAGGCTGTAAATACCATGCCAATCACTCAACTCATTAGTCATGTCGAGCTGTTTCCCCCAATCCCTCTTGGTTTGTGTTAAGCCAATGTTTTTTTTTTGATTTCGAAATAAACGTTGCAACAAAAGAAAAGTGTGGATCCGAAGTGTTTTTTATTATTATTATTATTATTATTATTTTTTTAATATTTTTACTATATAGAATGAAGAGCTAAATGCCTTGGCTTGAAGGATATACATATATTATCTACCCTTCAGTACCAAACCTCAGGAATTCATCAGGAATTCCCGAGGATTTAAGCCATTTGGGAAGGAAGTCCCGAGGGTTTTCGCAAGAAATTCGTTTAGAGCATGAGTAAAACGAATTTCTAAGCTGTTTCTATAAAATGCATATATGAATTTGTTAACCGTCTTTATTGGCTATTAAAAATATAGCTTTCAAATATTTCAAAATCAATTAATTTGTTTGCTTGGCTGTTTCAGTTAAATTTGAAAAGTGCGCTCCTCCTTAATTGTGACGTTTTCCAACACTGGTCTGAACTGTCAAAGCAAGAAAAGTTTAAATATTTAAATTGATTACAAGAACCTGCAGTATTTTTAAGAAGTAACATTAGCTTTTGGGCTCTTTTAATAAATAATAAGGTGAATTAAACTCTGGGAACGGTGATTGTTCCTAAACATATTGTTATTTATCTTTTGTTTTATCTTGTGTATGTTGGGTTGCTATAACAAAAACAAAATGAATGAATTTAGTTAATAGTTAGTTAGTAATAAATGAGATTAAATCGGTGCAAATCCAAAGATTTGAATTTTTGCACTGCCGCCACGCGCCCACTGTCGATGTGATGACGAGCGCCTATCGATAACCGATAGTCGCTGAGAAGTGAAACAATAACAAAATCAGCTGCAAACAATTTGTGGTGCCACGCAAAAAACAGGCAACAGAAAGTAACGAAATTCGCCTGGAATCACCGCCCTGTCCCCCCGCGCGAAGAGAGTGAGTTACCATCTCACCGAGCAGAGACAACAACAAACGCCCCCGCCCCGCCACGCAGCGTCAGAGAGTGGAGAGAGGAGCAGAGCAGAGGCAGAGGGCAATCCGGAGAAGATGTCGTGGCTGAACAACAGCCTTAGCACGCTCAAGGGCCAGCTGACGAACCTGGCCCAAGAGGTGCTGGCCGAGACAGCTGGTCCCGGCGATGACGACTACCAGGGAGCGGCCGGAGGCAGCGACGAACGCGCCCGTACGGCACTGGAGCTACTGGCCGAGACGCAGCAGCAGAAGGAGCAGCTGGACAGGCGCTGCGAGGAGAAGGATCGCGAGGTATGGCACTTGTGCGATGTGAGCCTTCTCTGAGTCCGCGTATAAACGTCTCCCACCCTTCCAGATTGCCGCCCTGCGCCGCGAGGTGGCCAGGCACAACAAGAAGCAGCCAAAGCCAAGCACATCGCCGGAGGAAGCACAGTTGGTAAGTGTAAGCGAGGACCTGCAGCTGGCAACTGGTCTGGTTTCCGGTGCCGATGCCGGAGCCCCTTCCGCCTTCCGGGAACCACTGCGCGCTCAAGTGTTTGCTCTCCGCCTTATCGCCGCTCCGAGCATATCCCTGAATTAATATTTAAACTGCGATAAGCTAGGAGCAGCAGCTCTGCACACCCTCTCCGTGCCGGACGGGGGCTTATCTGGGTTTTACCTGATGCCACACAAAGTGGCCGGCTAGATAAGCAACGGACCCTCCCGCTTCCTCCCCCGGCACATTCCGTGGAAACCGAAATTATGAAATTTCTATTTGATTCCACATTCGGTGTCGTGTATTATTTGCCTGGCTGTCATAAATCCCGGCCAGGTCTCCTTTTCGATCGCCCCATATGCTCCTTATCTAGGCGTTCGCTCCCCAATCCTATTCCAATCAACGCTGCCAGCCCACCCCAGTCTGATGGCTGCTTGTTTTATTTAACGAATTATTTCTGATTAAGCAAGTCTCTAAAAGCCAACCCCAAAGGGTTCAACTCCTGGCGACGCTCCTGGAACTGGAGAGCTTGCCAAAGCGCAACTGTACCAATTCTGATAGCTGAGCTGAGCCAACTCTGTAGGGTTTGTGCCTAAGCCTTGCTATAAATAATTTCTTTATTTAATATATGTGCATATCCTAGATGAAAGCTGAGCAAAAGAAATAATCAAGGAAGAAGGTATACTTTCTTCCTTGATTATTTCTTTTGATTTTCCTTATTGAAAATCACTTTTCATAAGACTCTTGATTGATTTTTTTCAGTACAATTGCGGCATTATTTTCAACCTGTAACTTGCTTAAATTGATTTCTTTATATTTTGGGTGCTTGAAGATAGCAAAATAACATTAATTAATTTATTCAGAACATTGCAACTAAGTATAATACAAAAGTTATATTTATAGCCTTGTAGTATAATTTCAGTCAGAAGCTTGCAAGACAGTGAAAGAGTCTTTTCCAACCTAATAAATATTTATTGTTGATCAACATTAAAAGGCGCCTCTTTGTAGCACATTTCTTAACCTAGATTTCTAAACATAGAAAAAAATAGCATAAAGAAGCGGAAATTAATGCATTTTGGGCTGAGTTAGGAGCGATTTATGATTCGATGCCATGATCCGATGGCAAACTGCAAGGGTATACACATTTCAGCTTCCCAAAGTTAGTTCCTTTCTTGTCTTGATTTGCATTAAAAGCAGAGTCGATCTAGTCATGTCCGTTAGTCCGCTTGTCCGCCGATTCGTCCGTTTATCCGTTTCTAGGAAAACTAATGTCTTAGTTTTAGATAACTATCTGGAAAATATTTATATTAATTATTATTGTATTGTATTAATATATTCATTTATATATCAGGTTTCAGTATAAAAATGAAAACAATCCTTTAAAGCTTTAACAGCAGAGTCGATCTAGTCATGTCCGTTTCTAGGAAAACTAATGTCTTCGATTTAAAGCCATGATATATATATTTCCCATAGTCTTATTTATATATCTGGTATAATTATTTAAAATAACCCTATTAGGCATCAGCCTAGTCAATCTAGCCATGTCCATTTGTTCGCTTTTCCACCAAACTATCCGTCAATCCGTCTGCCTTTCAAACTGTCCATATCCTAGTTTGAGAGATATATGGAAGATACCTATACTTATATTTATATATATTAATATATCACGATTTACTATCTAAATTTAAACATCAACTGCTATCGTTGTAGCCAAATTAGTTCTTAAAAACTGATATTTCGGAACTCTTGTAGTACTTTTTCTGTAATATAAATAACTTAAGGATCTAACGAATATATATTTAGCTGACATTTTTTTTTTTGAAAATAACTGGGAATAAGAAAATCAATAACTTGATACAATTTCCCAATAAATATATATACTTTTAACATGTATTCCTTGGAATTATAACGGTTCTTTAACTATACTTCATTTTGAATGTGCTTCCTGCGCAAGTATATATGTATAGTTTCTGATCACAGTTTAGGCGACTTTGTTAAACCCAATTACTTATATTATATATAACCTACCCAATATTGTATGTATATTGATCCATAATTTCTCCCCTTTTAGACACTTTTATCTGATTAGCTAATCAAAAAATGTAAAAAAGTGATTCCTAACGAGGAACATAGATCGCACGACAAAGATTGATAGATTAATAGATCCAGGAATAGATCCAGGAAGCCAAGGTGATTTATTGTCTTTAGGGGGTATCCCTTGGATACCCTTTTGCCTTTGCAGATCACACAGTTTTGTAGTGTAAACCCTAGTTTTTGACCCCCAACTCCCCTCAGTTCATTAATGTTGGTTAGATGTTGTGCCACGATACTCCTTTCTGGGTTATCTCGTATCTGATTATCGACGGTTATCTATTGGATCGATAACAGGCGGGGGCCACCATATTGTTTTGCATAATTGCGCCAGGCGGCCGGCGATAAGTGTGTGCTGCCCTCATCCTCATCCCCATCCTCGTGTTCCTCATTCCCATCCCATGGCTGACATGAGCCTCCCCCAAGCCTGACACTATCATCCCCATTAGGCGGGCGGGCATTTTGGGACATCTGCATCGCACCATGCTTGGTTATCTTATCCGGGACCGGGGACGACAACAAGCTGGCCAGGATCGGCAAAGGGTTGTTGGGGCCCTATAAAAGCCGGGGCCACCTGCTGGCTGCCATTCATTCGGTGCCGTGTGATCGATTCACGTAGGAGACCCGCATAAAGTGTTCATTTCCACCAAGTTTTCTTTCCTCTGTTGGTTCGTGTGGCTCGTTCCGTTTCGAAGTAAAAACGCGATTTGCATTTGAAAAAAAAAAGAAGAAAAAAATCGTTTGAAATTTCCAAAAAGAAGGCCAACCGCATTTGGTAAATTTTTTCTTGTATTTAATTGTTTGTTCTTTGCATTCTTTTATTTTTATTACCGGAAGTTGCGCGACAACAACTGCAGTTTCTATTTATATTTATATTTTTTTTCATTGTGTTCGTGTGCTCTCCGGTGTGTACTTATTCGGTATTTATTTTGGGTGAGTCGAGTCGAAGGTAATCTTTTTTGTAAATTCCCTTATGCAACGACGAATTAGTCTAATTGTCAAATTTAAAAACGCAATGATTAGGTGAGAGTCAGAGTCGGGAAGCCATCGACACGAGGCAGCGAGCACGCACCTGGCGATGATAATGGGGTCGCGTCAACCAAGTTAAAACAAAAAAATGGGGGAAATTAGAAGGGATATTGGGTTTAAAAATGTTGTATTTTTTAAAATCTCGGACCAAAATACACTTAAAAATTAGGGTTGCTAGCCTCATTGACATAATTTAAATGACAAAAATGTGCAACTAATTTGTTGCATAGGAATTTCGCTAAAAAAATATTTATATATAATTTTATATGGTTAAAAGTAGTGTTTTCCAATTATGATCTTGAATTAACTAGGATTAAAAAATGTTTATTCAACATGACGAAATGCAGTAGAAAAGGTATCTAGGCAAATGTAGCTGCAAAATTAAGAAAGTTACAGTGGAGAGTGCATAACTACGATGTACTCAATACCTTTAGCTTTGATTCAGCCAAGTCACATTCCCTAAAACAGCTTTATCTAAAAGATAATTTTTATAAATATGTTATAAAGTTTATATAATAAAATACTCTACAGAATGTTGCTAGGAAAATGTTGCAGGAAAAATGTTGAGCAACATCTTTCAACACATGAATGTTGCTCATCAACTTTGTTGCATAATTTATAATATTTGTTTATAATCTTCCATATATAATATTTAAATCCTAGTCAATCCGAAATATTTAAATTAAAATGTAATTAATTTGTGAATTGTATTCCTGCTGCCGTAACTCATTTAAAAGCTGTTTTATAATACTTTAATTCAAAAAATTCAAATTTAACGAAGCTAGAAAACTAATTAAAAATATAAAGAAGAATAAACAACAGTTATATCATGATAAATCGGAAAAATACCCCAAGTATGATGACAATTTACGCTAATTTAAAAAACCAAGCCTATATTATATTGTAACAGGAAATGCTACACATTTGTTATAACAATACATGTTTATGCTTATCGAAGAGAAAGTATACATAATATAAAATATATAGAATATAGGAAATATATATATAGAACCCACTCTCCACGTGCATAATCATAATTATCCATATCGTGGAGCTCTCCTGATCTTGCACAGATTTCATTAGAGCGGAAATGTTGATTGGTCGCTTGGTTGGCTCCTCGTTTGGGTCATTGGGAGGGTTGGGAAAGGGGTGGAGGTCCGATTGGCAGGCAGTTACTCCATTTTAGTTTTTTTGTTTTTGGACACGTCAACCGAAACCGAAACCGAATCGAGTTCCATTTGATAAACGCAGTTTGTTACGCTTGGCCAAACTGTGTCAAATGTGTCCACAGGTGCACTTGTTGCTACCTCACATGGCCCCCCAGGCACAGCCCCTGCTCCTTCTGGTCATCTGGACATAGATTTGCCACGGTTTGCGAGATTATTTCTTCTCTGTACAATTTGATATGGCAAATACTTGTAGAGATGAGAGCTTATGGGGTTGTCGATTTTCAGGAATATATCTTTTTATTTATTTCACTAGCCCATCTTGGTTTTATAATATTATATTCAATCATTTAATGGCTTGAGTGGCATGGATTACCCTGTGTTTGTGTCATTGTTCCACATATTTTTCAGAGCCCAACGAATCTGTGGGATATGACATGATTTAGTTCGAGGGTTCGAACCATTGATGATGCTTTATTTAATATTAAAAGGCTGTAGACATATTTCAAAGTTGTTTTCCAGATACTCTTTTACGAGGAAATATATTTAATATTTTTTTGAATATTTTAATAAATTATAAGTTATAGTTATAAAGGTCTTTTTTGGTAGTAACCGATTATTATATATTAAAAACCCATTGATGAGGCTCAAATCGAATATTAAAAGTCTGTAGAA